ACTTTTTAAGACTTAATTTTGACTTACGTCATAATTTCAACGTTTGATCTCATTATTGTGACTTTCTATGTCATAATTTCAACATTTTATCTCACAATTATGATTTTGTATGTCATAATTTCGACTTTTTATCTCATGATTTTGATTAATGTAATAATTGTGACAAAGTCATCATTTCTAATCTTAAAAATCGCAACGTTTTAAGTCATAATTTCGATTTTTGGTAATAAGGATTGCTTTCTTATGTGGCAGAAATGGGCTTCCATACGAGAGTGCCCACCACTAGCACATATATAAACAACTTCCTCTTATTTACATGTCATTTACGGGTGACGTGTCCTCTCTAGCAGTCGTTCTCTCACCACATTGGTGTCCGTCTCGATCGTGTCCTCGCAGTAGTTAGTTTGTTCATGGATGGCGTCACAGTTGGAGCTGCAGTCCAGTTGAATAAAGGGTTGACAGCGGTAGTGACATGTGTAATTACAGTCTGAAGAGACACAAACATTCATTCAGAAACCAAAAGCACACATCCAGTATTTGTTTCTAGTGATAAATATAGTTCTCAGCACTACGGTTTAACAGAGCAGCAGTCTGATTTTAGTGGCACAAGCTGAACATATGACCGTGGGGTCAAGCTGTGCTCATGAACTAGTCTACAGCGCCACCTGGTGGTAATGGTGAATGTATGTTCTGGGTCATTAAATTAATAAATTATCAATAAATCTGTTTGACTGAGCTACTTTAAAAGCTTTACGAGGTGTAAAAACATGCTGGTAATAAACGTTTTAAAGTGATGTTTTTGGGAAATACAGAAAAGAAAAGAGAAAACAATATTTTTAATTCTATGACAAAAAATAAAATTTTTAATTCTATGACGTTACAAGATATTCTGGAAGGTTCCCAGGAATTTGCCAAGGTGTTCTGGCTGGTTTAGGCATTTCTTTATGTAATTATACAGTTATGCTTTAAATGTTCTCGCTCTGTTATTCATGTTCTTCATTTTATATATTGTACTCTTCTGTTTGTAAGTGGTTTGTAAGCAGTTCGGTATTTATTCTAATGTTATTTAATTTTCATTTAAAATCAGTTGCACATATTTTAACATCTAATCTGTATGCTATAACCTAACTTCTTCATTTTTACTTCTTCATTCTTCTTCAAACACATAATTAATGTATAATTACATTATGTATTTATGCCCTTACTCAAAGTTATACATTTATTTAAGCATGTATGTATTATACATTTATTAGAACATTTATTTATTTGTTTATTCCATTTGCATTATTTGTCTAAATCAAAATCAATTGCACATATTTATTTTCACATCTAATTTGTACAAGGTTATTCTATTCTATTCTTATGTCTTATTTATTTGCTGTATGCTTTTGTGAATTACAGTCCATAAATAAACTAATAAGATTACTGATTGATTTGCTGTTTGAATTCTTACATTTCGTAACAAACACACACCCACACAATCTCTATCCAACAAAAGACACTGTCTAAACTAATCCCTGCCTAAACATCCTTTTCCTATTTGCGTTGCGTATATTCTCTGAGGGCCAGATTGTCTTGACAGAAACATTTACACAGCAGAAGACAAATATCCCGATCATCTGGGTGAAAGACTCACGTGTGCAGCGGAGACTCTGCCTGTACAGGCCCCATATAAACTCCCCGCAGAGGTCGCACCAGCTGAGCTGCGTCTGACTGCAGGGCTGGAGGTCGTGACCCCGTCCGGGTTTACACGATAGCCAGTCGGGGTCCTCCAGACGCACGCGCTCCCCCACCATCCGCACCACCTTCTCTTTGCTCCTAGGGGGCGCTAACTCGATGCGGTCGCCCGGAGTCAAGTCCTGTAATTCAATGAGTTCACATTTTGCCATCTTGGGGATGTGGGAGGCTAAAAAGCATGGCTCAGTAGATCACTTCAGAACGACCCGGTTTACTCCGAACCAGGTCGATGGACTTCGCACATCCAGGCTGAGTACAAACATGGATCAGTTTGTCGACCATACAATATTAATACAAAAGAGATGATGATGTTTTCAGCGAGATGTCCTCTTGATTCAGTTTTCAGCAGCATCTGGCTCAATCTGAGGAAAAAAACAGCAGAGATTAGATTAGATTACGATATATTGTGAGATAAATGTGGACAGTTATAATCTGTCTGATCTTCAATGGACTCCATTCATTTGTTTTACTATCATTATATATATATATATACTTTAAGTAATATAAATATGATATATTAAAAATCTGTTTTAATAATATAAACCTATTATAATTATGTTTTTGTAGCTATTTTACATCTATATATTTTTCATAAAAGAGAGACCCTTGATATTTGTTGAACAGAATTAAATATTTAGTCTGTATAGGGTAAAAAAGCTTCTTTAAACGTCAGACAGAAAGTCTACAGACAGGAAATTAAGGGGTTTTAACATTCCAGTGGGTTTGTGCGAACTAATCTGTCCTTTACAAAACCACTTGACAACATCTATATGGACGCTGATCAGTATGCGTGAGAGAAAAATTCTCTTAAGGGTGTTTTTGGACCATTTTTGTTGTAGGGCACCTCATTTGGCTACTGTCCTAATCCTGAGAAGCCCAAAGGCCTGAACAACCAACCAGAATAGAAAGAAGAGTAAAACTGGGTCACAAAAGCATAGCATAAAAAAGCACATAATATAGACTAATAAACAATAGACAAACAGAATAGAATAGAATAAAAAAGAATAGAATAGAATAGAATAGAACTGATTTGGGCAATTAATGCAAATATTTGAATATATGCAAATAAGATAATAAGGAAATAAATCGCAACAATGAATGTAAAATACACAAATAGGCTAACTGTAAACCTTTAAATAAAAGCATAAAATATCTAATTACTAAATTAATTTGAGTTCGATGTAATTAATTTAATTACAACGAATAAAATAATTGATATAATAAAGATGTCAAAATGTCTTGCCTTCAAATCCAATTAAAGAACGTAATTTATACAGAATGAGATGCATAAACAAACCAAGATAATAGAAAATAAAGAGAATGAATAACAAACAGAGTAAGAAATAATGCATAAATACATAAAAAAACAAATTTACTTGTGAAAATGTGTTGTATTCATTTCAAACAAATAACACAAAATAATCTCTCACAGATTAGATTAGCAATTAGACGTCATTGACTTGACGTGAAATATAAAAAAACGCTACAAACTCCAGAAAGTAGGTTATAACATCTATCATTTTATGGTTCGTGTCAGATTATAGCTGTAGCCTACTTGTATTTGAACCTCTTGTAGAAACTGCTTAAAAAGACCAGCCTACCTTATTAAACCAAAAACAACTTCGCCAGAAGAGCCTCAAACTGACAGTAAACGGGTTTAGTTTCCTCAAATCCGCTCGTGAAGTCTCAAACAGCGCGTAATCTGCGCGCGCATCGCGTGTTTGAGAGGAGATAACGCAAGGGATTGCGCAAAACAGAGAAAACATTTTCCATTACAGCCAAACAGAAGTGGAAAAGATGCTCCTCTGGCAGTCAGATGTCTCCTCAGATTTTCGGTTCACTTTTGGCGTCATTCGCAGTAGCATCTCCAAACTGGGTCGATTATGAGTTTCTCCAGTCGGAACGACGAGCACCTTGTACAGCGCGACCGCTACCGCGAGATAGTGCGCATGCGCCGCAGACTAACGCAGATTAACGCTTAATCCAGCACGATCTGTCCTATTTGAGCGGCGAAGGGAGAGCAGACATCATTTCCTGGAGCATTTGGTGGACCCTCGGGTTTCATGTTTTGAACCCACGCCTGCGGGGTTTAAACCTCGTTTAAAATTAAACTCATTCTTAAAGGGACAGCACTCTCAAAATGATCTATTTGTAATTCTATTCATTCCCTCGAAAATCTTAACGTAGCTCAGCTCTTTTCCGAACAAAAGTGGTTCATACAACTTGTATGATATACATTTCAAGTCTTCTAAAATTACATGTGGGGAACAGACAGACATTTAAGTTGTTATTTGATAAATCTTAAGAATATTTTTACAGAGTAATAACCTTGGCTTTAAAGTATTAGAAAGTGAACATGGAAGATATCATTTTCCTGTAAAAACTTTAGTGCAATGACTAGAAATCTAGTACGTACTTCCTCCAAACTGGGATTGGCAGAGGTCCATAGGCTTGATTTAACATTGAAGTCTCTCTCTCTCTCTCTCTTTGGTCTGAAAGCGGATGTCTTGTATCATCAGGAAGGAGATGAGATAAGAAGGTTTCTGTCCTCCGTTCAGTCTGGATGAGGGCCAACAAGTCACAGGACACGAAGAAACCCTGCCCCGTATAGAGGACAATAAACAGTAATTGGTTGTGAATGTCTGATTTTGTTACGGTCATCGGATTCCCCAATTAACTGAGTCATTTCATGACATTTCCCCAAACAAACCAATTATAAATACAAAAATATAGATAAAAGATGTCATTCTGAAAAGTAAAAAAATAATAATATAAAACAAAAATATTTAATCTAAAAATAAATAACATACAAAACCATAACCCAAAACCATACTTTTAAAGTTAAAAACATAATTGACCTCTGTATGGACAGGAAGAAAAAAAAATATTGAAGAAAATAAGTTCTGCACAGACATAGATAACAATAAACTGTGAAGTATTTATTTATTTGTGGAATCTGGAAAAAAAATCCAGTGTGATCCCTGCAGGTCAAAAGACGGAAAGACACATGCATGTAAACAAAATCCCACGTCAGCATGAGCGAATGGATTTCTAGAACAGAGGCAATCTGGAAGAAATTACTGACAATTGTTGTCAAAATAAAATACATTTATATAAATTAGAGAAGAAAATACACGTTGGCGCAAATAATATTAATTTCAATTGATCGTAGTCGGTTTTCAAAGTATAAATCATATTTATTTTTATGACAAATCTGAACTAATCAGATTAGATTTTGCTTCAAAACGAGATGGGACTTTTATTATGGCATGTTTTGGCTGTCTCTGTAACCGGAATCCTTGAATGATCAGAGAGAGTTCGTGGTTGAGATTGCGAGCATTTCAAATGGGTTGAGTTAGTTTAGTCTCAGTGTGCTGTTTGTGTATGTTACTGTATTGAATAGTTTTGAGAGAGAGCCAGTAGAATATAATATGACTGTCCATCACGAGTCGGAGCCTAAGCTGTACCGCTACAGCAGGATAGTGTGCGGAGTGTCCACTCATGTGCTGTGCGCGGTGTTCACTGGCTTCATCACGGTCCTCGCCAAACCTGGATCCAGTGAGTACAATAAACACTACGTTAGTGAAGTTCATAACGATCAGTCGTATTCAGACTCTCACTGATCTGTGCTGTGACTGTCCCATAGACAGCGGACTGTCCGAAAACGATTGTTTCCTGTATTGAATTTATATGGTGTTTGATACTTTTGATCAAACATTTTGAAATGCTTTCTAATTTATTTCTGACAGGAAAAGTTTTATTCATTTAAAAAAATGAAAAAGTAACATCGTGCAAATATACTATTAATTATGAAAGTAGATTATATAAATGTTGTGCGCAAAAGATAAATACTTTTTTATGTAGGCCTATATTGTATAATATTTGTGTGTGTGTGTATATATATATATATATATATATATATATATATATATATATATACACACACATGTGATGTAAAAATCGATGAATCGTGATTAATCGCAACACAAAAGTTTGTGTATATAGTTATTTATTTTATTTATAAATTTATTTATTTATTAAAAATATATATATATATATATATATATATAATTGTGTTTTGTGTAAAATAATCAAATATAATTGAATACACTTTGTAATAATAAAACAAATAATTTATAAATGTGTATGTATATATATTATAAAATACAATATTGATATTTTCACTTGCTTGTAGTATATTTTAGATTAAAATACCTAATGAATATTTTAAATATATAACTAAAAACATAATGATGTTTGAATCTACATAAAAATAAATAAATGTCTTGTTTCTGGCTCACAGTATGTTTATTATTGTTAACTAAAATCATTCAAATGTGTTTTATTTGGTAATTGAAACAAAGCTGAAATCAAATCTAAATATTCGAGTAAAGGTCAATTCGAAATGTTGCCTATGCAACCAACTGAAATAAAATTAGATAATAAGCTAAATATAAATATATTTTCAATCAAATGAAAATAAAAGAAGCACATTCCATTATTAATAAACACTATAGTGGTATATAAATAACACTGCTCTCTGTTTGCCTACAGGTCTGTTCTCATGGCATCCGTTCCTGATGACTCTTGGTGTGAGTGTGACGCAAAACATACAGACCTTGAATGTTTTGCATATAAATGAATTTTAAGTTTGCTTTTTGATTTTCTAACTCCCATCTAGTTTTCCTTTTTCATGACTGAAGCCGTTCTACTGTTCAACCCCTACTCGTCTCCCGTCAGGAAGTTAAAGCACAAAACTAAAGGCCGCCTGCACTGGATCCTGCAGTGTCTGTGCGTGTGTTGCGCGACCGCGGGCCTGAGCGCCATCTTTTACAACAAGAACCTCAACGACAAGCCACACTTCACGTCCTGGCACGGGTTGGTCGGTGTGATAACGGTGTCTGTCGTCGGGCTGCAGTCGCTCGGAGGACTTCCCCTCCTTTACCCCAAACTGACCAAAGGCTGGTCGCTGGCCAAACTGAAGCGCTACCACGCCACCTCTGGTTTACTCACGTACCTGCTGGGCAGCCTCAGCTTGTTTCTCGGACTGTGCTCTTCGTGGTTCAGTGCCAGTGTGAGCGGGTACTTCTGGTACCTGGCCGTCCTCTGCCCGGTTCTGTGCGCTCTGGTCGTTATGAGTCAGGTAACGAACGCTTACATGGCTCGGAAACGAATGCAGTACTGAAACAGACATTCAAGGTTTCTAATTAGGGTTATCTGATACACAGACATTGTGAACCTGAATTGCGTGTTGCGGCTCAGCTGCATGACAGAGATGATGTGATTGCTTTGTAACTACTTGTAAATTTACATTATTGCTATATAGACTGACCAAAATAAATGTATTTTTGGATAAGTTTTATATTCTTGAGTGCATTTAAGCTGTATTGTATGGGGTTAGAATTGTTGCATTATTCCAAATAAATAGATTGAGATTCACAAAATTGTATCAAATTCATAAATAAATCAAAATGTAAAGAGTTTCATAAAACTTAATATAAGAGATTTCTTCAATCAAAAGTTCAGTATGGTATACCACAAGGCTCAGTACTAGGACCGTTGCCGTTCACACTTTACTTGCTACTCTTAGGAGATATCACCAGGAAGCTTGGCATTAGTTTTCACTGTCATGCTGATGATACTCAGCTCTATATTTCTTACTGTTTACAATTGTGTTTTATGTCACAAACACAACTCTGGAATTTATCTGTAAACCACTTTCTGTGCATTTTTAAATCGCTGCACGCATTTGTAAATCCCCTCACGCATCTGTGGATTATGAATCACTTCTAGTTTTGAAGTGCAGACAAATCCACAAATAAGTGGACTCCGCCCCCACTGTTTACTCAAGCCAATCAGATAACGGCCACGTTGAGCTGACCAGTCGTAGCATGTTCACGCTACATCACGTTAGGCTTACAATCAGGGTGGGCTTGCCCTGAAATAACTTTGCTTTTTGAATATATGAATATCTTTTTTTAAGGGCAAATTTGTATTAAAATTTAAAAAACAGTTTTCCAGATCATGTTAAAAGAAATTTAATGTCTAAATGAAACTATTATGTATGGAAAAATTATACAACTCTTTTCAAATAAGGTTAAGTGTTAGATTTGGCAATATGTGTATATATACATATAGTATTTATATTGTGTCTATATGTAAATATGAATATATATATATATATATATATATACACACGCACACATTTTTTTTTTCAGGAGTCGAGCTGAAATTGCTGCAAGCTGTGAGAACCATTATTCGGAATAAAGGAGAAGTCAAGTTTCTTTATGTTAAAACAATGTTTAATAAATACAATGTCATTTGAATCTACTCCTCCCTTTGTTGGGAACATGAGATGATGTGTGGACACCTAGTACAGTGTCTGTATGGGATCACGTGTGTTTGTGGGTCCCGACTGCCGAATCGCTCACAGATCGTGGTCTTGAACTCGCCTATGGGGGTGCGGGTGTGATGTGGGGGTTTGGGTGAAATACTGCGTCTCTCTAATAGAGGGATTTTTTTTCTCTTTAAAAAAAGGTTGAAAATGTATAAAAAAAAATAAAAAAAAAGAATGAAAATGAATTACTCTTCAGCATAATAAATAAATATTTCTGGTACATTTGTACATAGTTGAAAGAGAAAACAACATACATAAGATGTAACAAAACAGTTTCAAATAACAAAAAAAAGATATCATGTCAAATGCACACCATTATATATATATATATATATATAACAGCATCTGCAGACTCAGGCCAAAGATCATGACATGGTTATCTGCCAATCAGAAAGCAGATTGTGGGAGGAGTCAAAATAAAGAGCTCTAATAGGCACAGAGAATGAACAGTGTTATTGGCTGAGGGATTTATCAGTCACAGGTCAACCAGCGCGCATACAATTCAACATCATCACAAATCTAAAACACATCGAGATTTTTTAAAATGGCCGAACAAACACTTTGGTCATGACTGTGGCCCCAACACGGATGAAACTGAATGACCGTGCAGATGATGCAAAGCGCAAATTTAGAAAATGACAACTAGTTGGGTTCGCTTAACAGTCTACACATTCGTAAAATGATCCCCATGGATAACGACAAATGATTTTGTTTGCTACGCAATCGAACAAGAACACAGATCCATTTGTCTGCTTTAAGGCTAATATCGAACTAAACGCACTAAACTTGCATCTCCTCCACCAAATTTTAAAGGCTAACATGAAAATACATTCGATTTTGTAAGGTTTTCCTTGTTGTTGTTTTTTTTTTTTTTTCCAAAGGAAAGCAAAAAGGTCTCGGCGGTGCTAATGCTAGGCATGGCTTCTGTCGCTGTACGATTCGACTGTTACGAATTCCCCGTTGCCCAGTCTGCGATTTTCAATGGTCAAAGAGACTATGAGTATTCATGTAGGACCACCGTTTACAAAAGTAATAGTAGTACTTACAGTTATAATAAAAAAAAGTCACATATTTTTTTTTATTTTTCATTCCAAGTGATGCTACAAGGTCTAGCAAACGTATCGCTAAAGTCATCTCTTACGAATGCAAACAGTCTGTAAAGACAATCACGTTTAAGTTTGATTCGGTAATCTCTGAGGGAAGTTCGTCAGTTCAGTGTCTAGGCCCTCGTGACAGAGATATGACTAGGACTCCTCAAGTTAGCCCTGTGCTCTGGTCCCTTACGGTAAAGAAAAATATATAATCGCCTTTCTTAACTCCATGCATATTCAGCATTTGGATTTATAGAATTTCAGCTCCATCCAATAGGTTTCTTCCATTCGGACCTACGGAATCTGGAGCGATCACTGGCCCATCACCTCTATGACATCGTCATCCGAGCTGCTCCCGCCGTTTTCCGCGAGCGAGTGGTGCATGTCGGGGCGGCTGAATGCTGCCCCCAGCATGCCGGAGGAAGTGAGGAAATTGGAGGAGTTGGATGCAGAGGTTGGCGTAGAGGACAGACCTCTAGGGTGTAGGGATCCTGCGAACAGCGGCTGGGAAAATGGTACCGGGAAGCTGGAAAGCATGCTTGCCATGCTAGGGTTCATCAGGAAGGGTGGGAGCGAGGAGGAAGTGGAGGATGATGACGAACAGGGCACAGAGGATGAGGAAGAGGCCAGCATTCCAGCGTGGGTTGAGGATGTGGTATTGGTCGAGCAACTCGAGGAAAGAGTGCTGTTGGATGGGCCAAGTCCGAGTGGTTCAGTGGGGAACATTGCATGTAGGTCGCCGAGAGCCTGACCGGCTTGCTGTAGGAGGTGCGACCTGCTTCCAAGTGAGGGTGGAGTCATGTGACCCAGGGCGCCCAGCAAGGCAGGGTTCAGCCCCATGGGCGGGAACCCAAACCCGCTGCTTAGAGGAAATCCCGGGTAACTCCCGGGTGCACCGGCTGGCGCTGAGGTTCGTTTGCCACCAGGCTGTTTGGATGTCCGACTATCCAAAAGCTTCCGCTTTAAACTTTGAACCTCCATTGATGATGCAATGTCACTGCTGAGCTGCCGGTGCTGGTCAGTGACGCGAACTGGGTGTGGGATGGGTCGGTCCGCTCCCGAGGGTTCGGGTGTTCCCGAAGACGGTAAGTTCTCTACTGCAGAAACTGGTTCTTTGTTGCTGCGGTATTCTCGGAGGAGCCCGGGGCTGCCTTGGGGCGAAAGGCGAGGCTGAGCCTCAGGGGTTAAACGTTTCGGCTCTTGGGGAGACGCGCGACCATTACTGACAGAATGCAAGGAAGGGCCAGAATCCTCTGTGAGAAAGAAATAGATTTTGTTAGTTTATGCTGATGCTGATGCAGACTAATGGGTAAAGATCTGGGATGGTCAATGAAAGATTGTGGGTTCAATCCCCACTAAAGGGTTGATCCATCACAAATCAACTCTGCAACTTTGATCAAGGTAGAGGTCTGTACACCTGCAGAAACCCCAAGCAATGGAGAACCACAAAATATAAAGACCCAAAGATTGACTACAACGCTTCAATTCGCATTGTAATTACGCTCTTCAGACTACGAAGCAATGACAATGTAAATATTATTTCACCCGTTATTAGATCAAATATTAGTGCCCGCATGCAGCACATGCATTCTGCTCCTTCCTATTGCCTCTACCTGAATGCTTTTACTAGCGGGACAAAACATAAAAGTTGTGGGCAGGAGTGTGACAAAATATATAGGCCACAATATTGAGGGAAAGAGAGTAATGCCTGGTTCAGATTACACGATTTTAGGCACACTATGTAATTTTTCACTGCTAGTGGTTGCGAATTCAAAACAAAGGCGTAGCTTAACGATGCCTTAATTTCAGTTGGAGGGTGGTGGAGCTTTTATTATGCCGCAGACGACCTCTTCCGCTTCTTCTGGTTATTTATGTGGGGTAACAGTTTATCCCTGGTTCAGATTACACGATTTTAGCCCGATTTTGGCCCGATCCGTTTGACGTGGGGTTTCGTGGGGATTCGTAAATGACAACGAGCGTCAGGACGCAAGATTCGATTGGATCATCTCGTATAGTGTGTGATAGTGGGCGACAACCTACGTCGCGTATGCGATGCTTCACAACATCGACAAAAAGACTAGTATTTTTAATGTTTTTAACGGTCGTCCACGACGGTCCTGTCACATGTTTGAGGTTGACCAATAGGAGCACAAGCTTTTCCGTACACTACTTTCAAAAATGGCGAGACGAAAGAGAGACGATGGTGCTAACGTTAAAACTAAAAGTAAAAAATACATAAGAAAACAATATTTTACCTCAAGTTCTCTTTGGAGGGTCTTCGAGCAGAATTCTCAAGTCTCACGCAATAGCTGTGAGACACATGCAATTCAACCAGTTTACACGCCACACCGGGTATTTCCCGCGCTGAAAAGGCAATGCCGCGCAATCCAGGAACGTGTCCATTGTCGGGTTTTCTTTCTTTTTTTACTTTTTTCTGAACACAGGACAGCCAATACAAAACTCATCGCTTCATCCATTGATTGTTTCCGGAAGTCACTCGCTACTAGTTTTGCCTTCTCGATGACATCACGTGCCGTTAAAGACGGCATGTGATGACTGGTTAGGAAGCAACATGTAGTCTGACATGTCTTGTCCACAACACGACAAGATTTTAGGAGTCAAAATCTCGTAATCTGATACAGTGACTATCGTAACAGACAAAAAAATCGTGTAATCTGAACCAGGCATAATATACAGACCTCTAGATCAAATCATGCAAAACATTTTTAATTGGAATAATATGCACAGATGAACTGTGCACATTAATGGGGAGTTTCAAGCAAGTCAGAATTTACAGAACTTCCTACTTGCTAAAAAGTGCAATAGAAAAGAATTGCAAATAATTGTTCATCTTTGATCTGGCATTTTGTTTCAATACTGTTTCAAGCTAAGAAATGAGTTTGGAAGGAAGAGATGTAAAAGTAGGAACATTCCAAATCTGACGTTAATCCCACCCCACAATAACAGACTATAAAATGGGGTCTTCTGCCTAAAGGCCTGTTCACACCGGGACGCGTTATTCGCCGACGTTTAACACCTCGTGACTAAACAAAGGGCGCCAAAGTGAGTGTGCCCACCGGCGCGTAAAACGGCACGCGTAAAGGCGTATTTTTTAAAAACTCCTTGGGTTGTTTTTTTAGTCAAAAACTATCCGACCAATGAGATTGGCGCTTTTGCTCACGTGTTTGGAGCTTCTGAAGTTACAGTAAAACACAACTTGGGGGCGCTCAAACACAAAACGGTCTTGCCGAGCACACATATGTAACGGAGAAGAAGATATACGTCAAGTAGCGTCGCCGTCTACACAGCCAGGAAGAAATAAGACGAGGAAGATGCAAGGCAAGATGAATGTAGAGCTGCTGTTCTCGTTAGTGCTAGAACATAAAGAACTTTAACAAACATGTCAGGGAATGAATTTGCATGTTCACTCGGCTCATCGTCGGCGACAATCGCTTGGGTGTGAACACAAAAAACGCGTTGAAAAACGCTGATGAATAACACGCTGATATTTTTCCCGGTGTGTACGGGCCTTTAAGGTTATGCCAGAAGAACTACTAAATGACAAATTAGTAAATTAGTACACCTCTAGAAGCTGTGGCTCCTCCTTCAGACGGTCTTGGCTTTCCAGAGCGGATGGCAAATATCCTCCCATCATTGGTCCTTATGTATGTGCCTGCAGCACAAATGACAGAATATGAAGCGTATAAACCTTACCTATATTACAGTAAAAAATCTCAACAGTTTTCTAACACTGAGGTACCTTTGGATCCTCGGATAACGTGAATACTCTCCCCTGCACCGATTCGGGCTTGGACATCTGTGCTGCTGTTGGACCCTGGGATCACAATATCTGAAAAGCAAAGGCAGGAAACCATGAAGAAACAAACTGAGAGACCTCAAATACAGCAAGTAGCAGCATCCACTACAACCGAAAGGTCTGTACCAGTGGTGGTGACGACGCGCTGTACGTAAACACCGGCCTTTTGCAGGTAGTTGACGGGGAATCCTGCGCTTGAGCTGGGGACGCCCATGGGTACCTGGCGGGGCATCATGGGAATGGGTGTGGACTGAACTGGCCTCACACTTGCGACTGGTTTCTCTTCTAAATGAGGTGGGGGCCGCCTGAAAAAAAGGTTTGGATAAGCAAACATCTAAGACTTAAAAGAGATCATCACTACATTGAGGTTTTTCTGTTTTGGACCCACCAGTTCCTCTGGCTAAAGGCAGGGATATTGGTGAGTCTCTGGTCACTAGCCGGGTAATAATGTGCGTAAGAGGGCCGTTGATACGGCACAGACGCCCGCTTCTCGTCTTCGTAGCTTTTCTTGGCTGCTCTCTTTTCTGCTTTGGTCAGTTTCAAATCCTTGCGGTCCATCAGGAGAGACTCATGGTGGAATGGTTGCTGGTTTGGAAAGCAGAGATATTAGTATAGGTGACTGAATGACAAACAAAGCACAATATAATTAATATTCATGAGCTAAGCCTTCAACATTGTATTTGTCTAAAATACTTCTACAATGGTACATACATCTATGTACCACGATACATCTATCAATTCCAGGATTTTTCTCAGTATAATGGACTTCAATGGGAACCAAACGGTTCAAGGTCCAAAAGACAGTTTCAGTGCAAACTACAAACTGCTCAAAGGGCTTTAAACGATTCCAGACGATGAATAAGTATCTTATCAAGCGAAACGATCGCTCATTTAAAAAACAACAACAAAGTTTAAGTTTTATAAGCTCAAATGCTCGCCTTGCTCTGTTTTGTGATGCACGTCCGTGACTCTCCTGTTCGAACTCGTTCATCAAAATGAACGAATCTTTTCCAGAGTCAACTCTTTCATTTCGTTCGTTGAATGAACCAAATGACACGAAAAAAGATTCGTTCGTTTTGATAAACGAGTTCGATAAGTCCCTTATTAATCATCTGGTATCATTTAAAGTCCTTTGAATAGTTTGTAGTTTGCACTGAAACTCTCTTTTGGACCTTGAACCGTTTGGTCCCCATTGAAGTCCATTATATGGAGAAAAATCCTGGAATGTTTTTATCAAAAACCTTAATTTCTTTTCGACTGAAGAAAGAATGACATGGACATCTTGGATGATATGAGGGTGAGTAAATTTTCAGCAAGTTTTTTTTTAAAAGTCAACTACTGTGAAGCCACACCAGTACAACCTAATTTATATTAGTAAACCATACTCTGCACCACATTATGATCCAGACTTTTCCCAGAATATGTAGCTGGTCTTGATTACAGATACAAAAATAGACAGCTATGTCAGCACAACCTACTTTTGCCACAAAAAAACCCCCTGAAAAATAGCTCCAAACAATTAATATTCATCAGCTAAGCTTTCACACAGTTTGATGAAGAATATATTTTAGAATAATCACATTTTAAAACTAGGCGCTGGTGTGGAAAGCAGGGTAATTACCTTGGTTAAGAGGTGCGGGTAAAACAGGCAGGCTTGTTTAATGACGATCTCCATGTCCTCACTAGGGACCAGCCCTGATTGGCTGGGATCAGGCTCCTCCTCTACAAAGTGCAACAGCGACTCCACTTCCTTCCGCGTGAAGGTGAGGACAGGGTTCAAATCGTCCACGACTCGATCTGGCCAACGCACAATCATAACGTCAGAACTGTTCACAACAGTGAGACCCAAAAACACACTTTCCCGCCCTCTCTTACCAGACATGCCCTGCTTGGACACCTGACGGTCATAGATCTTCTTCTCCAGTGTGAAGTCACACACCAGCCTGTAGATGTGGCAAGGCTTGTGCTGGCCATAGCGGTACACGCGGCAGACGGCCTGAGCGTCGTGACACGGGTTCCAAGAGGCATCGAAAACCACCACGCGATTCGCGCCAATCAGATTTACCCCCAAACATCCAGCCCTGTAAATACAGCAGCTTGTCAGTCCAGACCTCATTATTATCTGTGGCATATTGAAACATGCTGACCAAACGTGCAAGTTCTTCACCTGGTGGACAGCAGGAAGACCCAGGCTTGGTTGTTCGCAGGGTCGTTAAACTGGTTGATGAGTCGTTCTCTCTCTGAAGCTGATGTGCTCCCATCCAACCCTGCACAGGAGACATAAACCAGGTGAATTTACAAAGAACACACACCCTAAATCATGAAAAACCTTAGGCAAAGTTGATCTACAGGACGAAGAAATTAAAATGGGTGAGAATATGGGCAAATATTTAATATAAAAGTTATTTGGGCCAATAATTTTTACAAAATCATTATTGCTAACATGTTTAAAGTGTTAATTATTTTATTAACATTTCTCAGATATTATAGATTATAAATTAATCACACTTTAATTATAAAATATAATCCATTTTACTAATTATTTTAATAAGCACACAGTATAAATGAGGCTTTAAAGTGTAGCTGGCTTTTTATTTTAGGAAGAGGGATCATTGTATAAGTGTTATTTTAGCATCACTGATATACTATTATTTTTTTGTTAATATTTTGAATGAAATTTGATTTTGATATTTTCACTATAATTTTAGTTAAAGTTTTAGAGTGTTTTTTCTCTCTCATTTAAAAAAATAAAATAAAATGCTATTGTTTATAGTTTTAGTTATTTTTGTACTTAAAAGGTTTTGTTTTTAATTCTCGGCTACCTGAAAAACCTTTAATAACTCACTGTAGTAATTGATGTTCCGGACCCAGTTGTGCCCCCCAGTTTCCGTTTGGATCGGCATGGGCCTCCGACTCAGGAAATCTTCGATAACTGTGAGCGTTGATAAACTCTGACTGTAAGAATCACACACAGATAAATGAGCCAGTGGAAGCGTTGACGTAACTGTCAAATAACAGCATGACTGACAGTTCAAGATGCTGAAGAAGAGATTCCAGATTCATCTGTATACTGTCACACACACAGATTTCCCACCTAAACACAAGTATTTTATCTCCTCGGCTGACGCTGTCATCAATCAGGTGGAAAAGCAGAACCATCTTGGCCGAGTTCTCCAGAACACCCGTCTGGTAGTTGCTCATGATGTCTTTTGCCTAAAACAAATAGATAAAGAAATGACATCATATCCATGAGCTCATTAACATATAACCACCAACATTTACATATCAACTGTTTGATTCTTATTCAAATCTGTTCAGAAACTTTTCCCGGGCAGCATTGTTTCTCATTTCACGATGAGCAACCATAACATTTACAAACCGGATGTAAAAGACAGGATGCAAAATGTTCATAAAAACTAAATTAATATTGCGGCCTTGTGTCTCAATTGGGACAAAGAGGATTAAGTAGGTAGTAAGTTTGCTAATATTAGATGTAAAATAAAATTAGAACGTGGACTATGTGGGAAATGGGAAATATCTAATTGTGATTTTTCTGATAAAAAAAATTGTGATTTAAAAAGAGTTAGAAAAAGCTCCAGCTTTGCAGCCATCACATTCATTGTGTTCCCAGATAAATAAACACGTAGTAAGTTGAAGGTTTTACCCATTCATAGGTGATGACTTGGTTGGCCCTCTCCTGTAAGGGGTTAAGGGGTCCCAGAGCCATGGTCATCTTGCTGTTGGCAGGGTCAGACGACTTGCCCTTCATTCCCGGTGCGGAGCAGCGGGTCCCGCTGGTGGAGTTGAGGTCATCCAGGTCAAGATCCTGCTCATTGGCCAGATTTTCCTTTTGCAGAGCTTCGTACAAAACGTCCGGATGATTCCAGATCTACAGGATTCACAAAATACAGCTGTGAGCACATCGACCACTATATAACAACAGGCGGTGTGTTTGTAGTCTCCGTACCTTGCAGCAAACACAGAAAGCTTTAAGCGGGTTGAGTCCGAGCCATCCGCTGTTTCCCGCCTCCCTGAAGCGGTTCATGAACTCCGTATAGAGCGCCCTCTGCAGGCGAGACAGTCGTACCAGAATCACATGCTCCTCTTTCGGCGGCAGCTGCTCCCGGAGAACATCGTGACCTCGTCTGCCAAGGTAGAAAACAGTTTAGCTCAAAGCCATAGACTAGCGGGCAGCGCTCCGCTATATAACGCAACAGCTCTCTGGCCAACCAGAGTTCGCATCCAGCCTCATGGTCCTTTCCTGATCGTGATTGTGATAAGGAATTATTATTCATACAGTATATAAAATAAAACATTGAATAAGAATAATGTAAATGATAATAAATAACAATAATAAAATAAAAGTAAAAATTAAAAAATATTAAATAAAAGAACAAACATTTAATAATAATAATAATAGTAGGTAAACAATAATGAATAACCATTATTAATAATAATAATTAATAAATAATCAATTTCATAATAATAATAATAATAATAATATCCAAAAAAGAAATGCATGTAAACTACATGTAAACAATAAATATTTAATAATAAATAATAACAATAATTAATAATAACATATTTAATAATAAATGCAAATAGTAAATGTTCATTAGTAATAATAGTAATAACAATTAAACAATAATAAATATCCATTAATATATTTAATAATAAATGTAAATATTAATGTTGTTCAGTAATAATAATAGTGATAACAATTAAACAATAATAAATGTCATAACTAAATTAACAAGAATAATACATCTAAACAAATCATATAATAATTATATATAAACAATTATACATTTTTTTAATTCTAATATTAACAATAACAAAGTAAATAATAATAATATATTATCACAAACCAACAATAATAAATTCTAATTAATAACATCATCATCTCACCTCTGCACGAAGCCCTCCAGCAGACTGTGCAGGACGTGACTCCTGTATCTCATGAGCTGGACGTCCTGTGGCGTGCTGTCGATACACTGACCGTTCAGAATGGGCCGCTCGAACATGTTACTAAACTCCTGCCGTGTACCGAGGAAATCGGGCCGGACGAAATCCACCATGCACCAGTACTCGATCAGGTTGTTTTGCAGCGGGTATCCGGTCAAAACCACCCGTCGCCGTGACCGGATGTTCTTCAGGGCCTGGGAGGTGCTGGCGTGACAGTTTTTAATGCGGTGACCCTCGTCACAAATGACGACATCCGGACCGGGCCGTGAAATCGCTCTTTCAATCCCTGAAGATCACAAACGAGACAAGAACATTTGTTAGCCCACAGCTAAAGTAGATGCCATGCATTTTCCACCAGCAGAACCCCGACAGACCTTTCATGAGCTCTTGCTGACGGTCCTCCTCGTCCAGGTCAATAATTACAGGACCCGCGGGTTTCTTGGACTTCCTCTTGCGGCCGGTCACAAAGCTCTTTTTGAGCGACATCAGGCGGTACATCTCATAGCCCATCAGCAGCACCCCTCCGCCACGAGTCCAGTCCTCCACCACCTTGGCCCGGGCCACTGTGGTTCTGGTCCAAATGAATGAAATGCATGAATATTTGGCCAGAAGATGCTAAAAGCAACTTGCAGTGGCCCTGGGGCTGTTTAAATTTGTATAAGTATAAAGCTGTCTATGCCATGCAGCATATATCTGCGATGTAGTTATGCATAATTCCTTCTCCTCCCTTCTGTAAATATTGTTTTTGCTTTAATTGTTCATCATGTAAATCAAAAATTAAAAATAAAAGTGTTAAAAAAAGCAACTTGCAGTGCATTCAACAACACATTTGATCAGTATTTGTGTTCCTTGTGTTGCTAATATCAAAACTACACTTAAATCATCATAAAACAGAAAATCATTGACAAAGATCCCAAACATATAGGCCTAGTGTTTTTTTCTTCTCCATTTTACATGTAAATCACAAAGCTGGTGCGGAGTTCTTACTTGTGCTCATCATTGAGGATGTGAACCTTAAAGGTTCGAGGTAAAACCTGGGCTGGATCTGTGTCGGGGGGAAGGGACTCAGCAGCAGGCAGCCAGAGGTTAAACTCAGCCAGCCAGTTTTGTAGTGTATTCACCTGGAGAAGAGAGGAGAGGAAAGATGAGACACAAACCCATCAGACGGAAGTATTTAATCGAATAAAAATGCCACTCACAGGTACAATGGCGAGGACAGTTTTGGCTCCAGTGTGGCGCAGTAGGATGTCGATAAAGGAGATGACCTGCAGGGTTTTGCCCAGGCCCATGCTGTGAGCCAGAATACAGCCGAAGCCACTGCTGCTCTTATAGCGCTCGAGAGACTCCACAAGGTTATCATACAGAAAACGAATGCCACCGATCTGACCGAAAAAAGGAAGAGACATTGAAAATGGATTCAATGTCCAACTAAAATGGAAAATGACTGGGAAAATGTTAATTTAATGGCAAAATGTGTGAACCTGGTGTGGTTTAACAGCGCCGGCGAGCTGCGGGGCGAGGAACAGGTCCTCCTCTTCTCCAGGGTGGTTGATATTGACCAGTACCCTTCCCTGGGCGTCCGGTAGATTGATGGCGTCGTTTACATGCGACCCGCTACTTTCCTCCGGGCCGGGAGTGACAGAACGATCTTCGTTGTTGTCATCCTCGCTGCTTATCCGCATGGCATCTTCATCACCTGAACTCAACTCAATCACATCTGGAACAATGGAGCAGAAAGGAAAATCAAGACACCGAAACCTCTTTACAAGACTAATTTAGAAGAATTTAAGGACTTATTTTTCTCTCTTTTTTACTCAGAGAAATATATACATACACATGTAAATAAAAAAACTGTAAATAAAACTAATATATATACACACACACACATTTATATACATCTATACATCAAATATATACTGGACAGTTATAAACTAAAATATTTTATTAAATATTTATTTGATTATTTACATTTTTAATTACATTTATATTTATTATTAAACATTTATTATAATTAATAAATTTTACATATAAAACAATTATTTACATACTGTATATATTATTGCATCACTATTATTATAAATTATTAAACATTATTATTAAAATAATTATACAAAATTGTTGGGTATATAAGAAATACACCATTAAAATGTATATATATATATATATATATAGAAAAGGGGTTTTGGGTAAAATAATCAAATATAATTGAATACACTTTGTAATAATAATTTATATATATATATATATATATATATATATATATATATATAAAATACAATATGGATATTTTCACTTGCTTGTAGTATATTTTAGATTAAAAAAAATACCTGTAATGAACATTTTAAATATATAACAAAAAAACATTATAATGATGTTTTAATATATATAAAAATAAATAAATGTCTTGATTCTGGCTCACAACTTTATTATTATGAATTTCTTTTATTATTTACATAAATTATTTATTAAACATTATATAATTATTTATATTATTAATTGACATTAATTACATATAATGTTACATATACACAATTTATTATTTACATATATTATTGCTATTATTAGTAGTATTATAGATTTATTATAAAATATACATATATATATATATATATATATATAAAATTACTTTATAATATACACACACATACATGTATAACAATTATAATAGATATTTAATAATAAACATTCGACTCCTTATTCATTTGTTTCTCACATTTTTGGTGTATATAATGTAAGCAATACATCCTAATAATAATGAAAAGTAAATAATAATAAATGTTTAATAATAATAAAAATAGTAAAATACGTTTTTCAAGATTTGCTTAATCATATAAATCTAAATAATAGTAAATGTATGTAAATAATAATGTCATTAATATAAAGAACAATACTGTTTTATATTACAGTGTGTTTATGTTGCGTTTACCATCTCTGAGGACAGGAAGCTGAGGGGGCGGGTCTTCTTTAGGCTCACCCTCATCTCCGCTGCTGTCCAGACAGATCACTTCCTGTTTGAGACCCGGCACTGCAGCGGACAGATCTGACAGCGGCGACACAACACAACCGATTAGCTAATTACATTACGAACGGTGAAAGAGGAGGAGCGGGCGGAACAGGCGGGTCTCACCTGCGTGAAGCGGGAAGTCTTTCCGCTGTTGTTCGAGTCGCCGCCGTCTCTCAAGCTCCTCCTGCTGGGCGGCTTTGGTTCCCGCTTCCAGCTGATGCTCCGTGAGGAGCTTCCTGCAAGCCGGAGGGAAGAGATGATATTAGCAGGAAGATAAATGATTGTTATTTTTAGTGTGCAGGGCAGGTTTTGGACCAATGAGATCGAATCCTCCCAGAATATGATCAAAATAGAAAACTAGAGACAAAATGTCTTGCTTAGTGTGTCTTGTTGGCACTTAAAAACAGGATTAAACAGTGCAACAGTTGATCTTATAACTTTCATATTACAATACTTAGGAGAGACAAGGGGGCGTGGCCTAAGGGAATATCACTCATGGGCCACGCCCCCTCCCCAAGGGGAAATGGGCCTGCCACCACAGCTGGACGAAATGAAAAATTAAATGAAGCTCAATACCGGATGTTCCTCCTCAAGTTAGCAGGTTTGGAGGTTTTGGACTTCTTCTTCATGCTGTTGGCAGACGTGTTGCTGCGGCTGTCCGGGCTGGACGCGGGTTGAGAGCCGGGCCGCGATGACGTCTGTGAGGTGGACGAGGGTTGGGAGGGCGGCCGGGACAAGCGGTCAGGGCTGGAGTCTCTAGAATTAGGCGAGGTAGGTGCTGGGCTGGTCGGATCTCTCTGATCCTCGGCCTCCGGGCTCTCGGGCTGGTCTGTTGAGAGGAAATGCCAAGCGATCAATAATTCATTAACAGCCAGAGAGTCAAGCGCACATATCAGCGATGACGCCAGACAGAAGCTTGACGCTTTTAAATGCATTCATCAATTAAAGTTCAAACTCAATATGATCAAATAATGGTTCAAAAGCCAGCATGAATTGAAAAGATGCTCACCGCCTGCATCTTCCTCATCATCCCCATCATTCTCGGCATCCTCTTCCTCGTCCATCTCCTCTTCCTCCTCCTCGCTGTTAAGGCTGGGCTCCAGGTCGCTCCCTGAGATCGCCTCTTCTGACATGGCGTCCCCTGGGTCTCCAAGAGCATTACTTACACATCTTCATTCAGACCACCTGAACAACACACACACACGTGATGTTATTAGACACTACCGTTCAAAAGTTTGGGGAATTTACAATTTTCAGCAAAGATGCATTAAATTGCTCAAAAGTGACACTAAAGACATTTATAATGTTACAAAAGATTTCTATTGCAAATAAATGCTTTTTGAAGATCCTTTTTGAAGAATACTGAAAAATAAAATGATTAGCAGCTAAAAAATATGTTTTTGAGCATCAGATTTGGCATATTAGAATGATCTCTGAAGGATCGGGTGACACTGAAACTGGAGTAATGATGCTAAAAATTTCAGCTTTGATCACAGGACTAAATTTTAATATTTAAATGGAAAACAGTTATTTTAAATTATAATATTATTTCACTTTCACAATATAATTGGTTTTACTTTTTTTATCAAATATAAACAGCTTTATCAATATTATCACCATCTGAAACATTGCTTTTATGTATATTTTTCATTTATTAACTGCCTTGTCAAAACAAAAATACAACTTCTAGTTTGATTTTTCTTTTTTTAAATGGGCAAGAGTAAATAAATGTTGCTTGGGTACAAATCAATGATCAGTTTTAATTTTTATATTTGCTACATGCATTTATATGGTTAAATAACAGTTTTCTTCACAACATTTTTTGTTGTTCAGCAATAATATTATTTAATATATATTAAAAATAATAAAACTACTGAAAAAATGCGAGCATAAAATGAAAAACAAAGCGAAAGGTTTGAAGTCAACAAGTGATTCTTTTCTTACTGATACTTTCAAGATTATTGCAAGTCATTCTTGCATAAAAATCTATGTTCGCAAGCTACACAACATTATAAAATCAACTAAATTTGCAACAACCACAACATAGAATAAGTAAGAAATTAAAAACGGACAAATCAGATCAAAAAATGTAAAAAAAAAAATAAATACAAAAAATAAAAAAAAATCAGCAGAACCAGCCCCAAACTTGTGGATTTCAATCTTTGAATGGAAAAAAAATAAAATAAATAAATAAATAATAAATAAAAAACAAGATGGTCAACATCACACACCCACAACACTTGATTCGGTTCAGCTAAACCAGTAAATATAAGCAAACAATTAAAACTATAAAATGAAACCACACAAAGTTAACACAGAATTTAGGCTTGTGTAATAAACTTTAAACTGTCTGAATCTCAGCTTTAATCAGAATTTGAGCAAAATCACGACTCAAAAAAAACAACAACCCAGTTCGGGAACAGGAGGAGAACAGAGAGCAACAACAGAACTCCAATCAAAATAAGTGTTGAGAGAAGAAACAGAAAGAACTAGAAGAAGAAAAAAACAGAAGGGAGCAAGAGATTCAGGCCTGCTTACATAAGAAGGGTTATATAAGAGAAGGCAGCGAGCGGTGTGAGAATGTAGGCCACGCTGGCCGTGACACACTGACACATTCACACACACACCGTACCGCTCAAGCACAGCCTGTTCCACAACAACCTGCACCTTCAGGCACACACACACTGACTCACTTCAGTTCAATAAAGCAATAACATCAATACAGCTGTCATTATAAACCAGAGAACTTTCTGTTTTCCTATAATGAAACACAAAATGAACATTGTGCTTTTTTCTGTACACTGAAAGTGAAGGAAGTCGGACGCTGTCAAGCATCAAAACTGACAATGAAAGCATTATAAAGTACCCTATAGGACTCGAGTCCTCAGTCATAGACTGTTTATGGAATGGTTTTTGAGTGATTTATAACACTTTATTATAAAACCTTACGATAAAACATTGTGTTTTATTGCATTATTTTAAATAGTTTTATATGCATGTATACATTTTAAAATATTTATGCTTCAAGTCGTACAACAAAATTATATTATAAAAATATATTTTACACATTTATTTTATCTTAATAAAAATAGCAAAAATATAGGCTACTACATTTTTTTACTTTTTAAGTAAAACATCTTCATTTGATCTTCACAGAAGGCATACAGTCATACATTGTATGAAACGAGATGAAAAAGAAGTAAAGATGAACTAAACTATTCCTTTAAGGTCAATCTCTGCATTGTTTTACAGCTGTTTCAACAAAAACAACATAAAAGACTTTCAATGAAACCAGATGTTAAATTCAGCTGGAAGCTATTCAGATCTATTCAGTTGAGTATTAATCAGCTTTACATATTTGCATATCTATCTATCTATCTATCTATCTATCTATCTATCTATCTATCTATCTATCTATCTATCTTATTGGTTTATTAAACATATAGCCCACCATTGCAGACTGAGTGATCTCGACTCTCTCTAATTTACATAGAAACCGAGCACAGAAACCAACCCAGCAATGTTTGATTAAATAGCCCTTTAAATCCATCATCTTTTCCGTTATGGGAGTGAGTGGCTGTGTGTAAAATGAAACTGAAGCTCGTGAAGATTATTCTGCACCTGCGCTTGACACAAACCGCTGTCATCATATAAAATCACGAACCCACATCACATTTCATTACACTAGGTGTATATTAACTTATTTTGATATCATATATCGCACAAAAGCACATTCGTGGACTGAAGTGAATGAGGCACATTTACATAACTGTACTTGACCAGCAGCGCCGCTGAGAGAAGAACAACCACCCTGAAACTCACCCAACATCCACAATAGGAGCACAAAACCACGTTAGACTAACACATCTGGGTGTTTAGTATCGTATTATATGCGTTATGTGTAAAAAGCGATATTATTTCAAGTCTGACGAGCGCGCTAGCTGTTAGCGCGTTAGCACGAAGCGCGATGCTCTCTTTTGTTGACGTTAGCTTTCGCGCTAACTCTGCTCAAATGTAACTGATAAAACACAATATCGCCATTTACACACGCGGGTGCGTTGTTAAATCAGTGTCTTACCTTTTTACACTCTTTTTAGGAACCCGCGGCTGTGCTGTGATTCATTGAAGAATTAATATTATTTTTAGTAATACTCACTGATTCTTTAATTTTAACTACCAATTGTGCACGAGCACCGACCTCAAACGCCCGTCGAGGCGCACAGACGGAGTCTAATGGTTCCGCTCCTCATACGGTCCGGGGGGCTGAATGTCATTGAGTGTTTCATAATCACTTAAAACCAGGGTTGCATAAAAGTAAATACAACAAGGTGGGGTGGTGTTGTGTAAATGCCTAGAATAATCCAGCTGGATGACTTACAAAAGGAAGTTTAAGACAAGACTGTCTGTATGTCACAGTTTACATTCTTTTACTTTCATTTATTTGTCATTTTGGCATATCTTTGTAATATATAGCACATACATACAGTACGTTTTGATGTTTTAAATATTATATAAAACGAGTGCATACATATAAAATAGTATACATCTTAACATATTGTATATAGTTAATAGGTGATATTTTATATAACTTATTATATAATGCAAATATGTTATAAAACAGCAATGTTCGTGGATAGGTTGTGTGGATGCCGAACATATCCAAGCTAGATGACTTTCAATACTTACACCTGTGTCTTTACAAATAATATGATTTTATTTTGTAAAACAACATATTTTTGTATTAAATATGTTATATTGTATTCAATTTTTCTTATATAACTTAAAACATTGTTACACAAGTAAAATATTTTATTGCAATAAGTTACATATAAGTAAAATAAGATATAAAATAGTTTTGTGGATGTTATATAATTTATTATATATCAATTATATTATATAAGCATATATTATAAAACAGCAATGTTTGAGAAAATGTTGTGTAAATACTTAAAATAATCTATATTGAAGGCTTTTTACTTAAGGCTGTTTTATTATAAATATTTATAATATAATATTTATTCATCATTTATGGATATAAATCATGTACTCTTTCTTCTTACTTTTTTATTAATAATATATATATATATGTATTATTATAAATATCACATTATTTTGTAATTTATAATGTAACAAAATACATTCATTAAAAGTATAATATTTTTGTATGCAAAACCTGTACTCTTTTTTTACTCAGCTTTTTTTTTTTTTTGCATTTTATCCGGCATCATTATAAACACTATATTATTTTGTGCCTTATAATGTTATTTATTATGAATCATATTACAATCATATTACAATGTGATACTTTTTACTTTTTTGTGCATTTTAGCACATATATTTATAATAATTTATATTTTAAATATTATTTTAAAATATTCTTATATAATCTAAAATAGTATTGTTTGATATATAGCAAATCTATAATATTTTTTTTGTGTAAAAAAACCGTTTAAAGTGCATGCTATTCATGTTGTGTAACTTATTATGTAATTAGGAAGCATTTATGGCATGTTATGAAACAGCAATGCTCTCAAAAAGATTTCTTATTGTGTAAATCTCAAGAATATGTCTTTAAAATGTAGTTTAAGACAAAAACGACTGTGCAGTTTTAAACCCTTATAATTAAACATTGTTTGTAAATATTATAATACATTTGTTGCATATTATTACTACTGATTCTAAATGCCCCAAATAGTTTTTTTCTTGGCTTGAATGATAAACTATCATAAAAAAATAAAAAATAAAGTAAACAATGGCCTACTACAAATCGCTTGTTGAAATAGTTTTGCTAAAATGTAAACAAAACATATGTAATGATTAAGGAATATGTGACATATTGATTGCTTAGATTGAGATATAGCAAAATCACATTCAAGTTCACCGTAAAAAACGAACAAATAAACTGTTACGAAACTAGAACCATTTTTATGTAATTGATGTAATTGAGCTTCACAGCGCAGCGCCACCCAGCGCTTCTTCACTGCATTACACTACCGATTCACGGCGCAGCGGGATGACGTCAACTACAATCGACGGCGCTACTCTTCATTGTGTTTACTAGCCGTCCAGATCGTCTAAAGATGGATTAAATATGTACTAGAAAATGATTGATGTGGTTCTTTCTAATATTATGGACTGGTCGATGATTTAGTGGAGTTTTGGTGACTCTAATTTCTGCAAAAATGAACAAAGGTTGGCTGGAGTTGGAAAGTGACCCGGGTGAGTCTCTAAATCAACATTGATGTATCTTATATTGGAGTTTGGTTATTCATTATTTATCAATCATTATTTTATTATCTATCAAATATGCAGTAAGTTAACATGTCATCTCGCTATACAGTAGAACAGACGTGAATTTAATATAAAATTCAATTAAACACACTCACATGATCATATTAACGTCATTAAATTGGCTGTTTCGACTTTCAGGGTTGTTCACACTCTTGGTGGAGGACTTTGGTGAGTTGATCTGTATGACACACACACATGCAAAAACGATGTATGGCATTTATGGGGTCAATTACAGTCTACATATGAGTGATGGTATTTTAATGTGATAAACAATTATTGATAAAACATTGAGTGTTATGAATATTAAATAAGATTAGACGCTTGGTGTAATGAATTAATATGTGAAGATTCATGTAAATGAATGGCTTGTGTTTGGATACAGGTGTGAAGGGCGTTCAGGTGGAGGAGATCTATGATCTTCAGAGCAAATGTCAAAGGTGCATTTATCAAACATTATTACTTTTTAAGCCTGTATATTTATTATTTTAATACATACACTCACCAGGCACTTGGTTACACCTTGCTACAGCTGGGTTTGACCCACTTTTACCTTCAGAACTTTATGGCATAAATTCAACAAGGTGCTGGAAACATTCCTCAGAGATTTTGGTCCATATACGTATACATAAGAGCATCATGCAGTTTCCAGCACATCCCAAAGCTGCTCTATCGGATTGAGATCTGGTAGCTGTAAGGCCATTTGAGTTTAGTGAACTCATTGAACTCATGTTCAAGAAACCAGTTTGACATGATTTGAGCTTTGTGACATGGTGTGTTATCCTGTTGGAAGTATCCATCAGACGATGATACACTGTGGTCATAAAGGGTTGGACACGGTCAGCAACAATACTCGGGTAGACTTAAACGATTGTCAATTGATACGAAAGAGCTCAAAGTGTGCCGAGAAAATATTCCCCACACCATTACACAAACAGTCTGAACCGTTGATACAAGGTAGGATGGATTCATGCTTTTATATTTATATGTTTACGCCAAATCCTGACCCGACCATCTGAATGTTGCAGCGGAAATCGAGACTCATCAGACCAGGCGTCGTTTTTCCAATCTTCTATTGTCCAGTTTTGGGGAGTGTGTGTGAATTGTAGTCTCAGTTTCTGTTCTCAGATGACATGTGTTTTCTACATATATATAGCTCTTCTGTCTTTTTTCTTCTTCTCAGTCCAGTGTATGGCTTCATCTTCCTCTTTAAGTGGATCGAAGAGAGAAGATCTCGGCGTAAAGTCTCCACGCTGGTGGACGAGACCTCCGTTATCGATGACGATATTGTGAACGACATGTTTTTTGCTCACCAAGTGAGTCTGTATTGGTTTAGTTTATTTCTTTGCTTATAAACCGATAATGGTAGCCTTGCAACATAAATCTGACCTTTTACTATCGTCTGTTTGTGGATTGTTGTGTGCAGTTGATACCAAACTCCTGTGCTACACACGCTCTCCTGAGTGTGCTACTGAACTGCAGCGGCGTGGAGCTGGGAAACACTCTGAGCCGCATGAAAGCTTTCACCAAGGGCTTCAGTCCTGAGGTCAGGATGAACACCATTTTTAAGCATGACTTAAAGGGATAGTTCACACAAAATTCCTCACCCTCAAGACCTTTGTTCATCTTCAGGACACAAATAAAGATCTTTTCGAGCTTTTTGTCCCTCCATTGACAGCTACACAACTACCACTTTGGTTCAAAACGTTCATAAACATTCATAAAACAGATCCATATGAATCCAGCCGATTCGGTTTAGACCAAATTTTCTGATTAGACTCGTTCACTTTATATTATGAACAGATTGAACTTAGGCTTTCATTCACAAATAAACATCCAACACATGAGGTTCATTTTCGTGTTTGAGCTTTTTACAAGAACCAATGAGATTTGTTCTGGCATGTCAAGCTTGTTCGGTTGAGCTTCTGTTTGTTTGCTGATCAATGTTTAAATGTGAATAAAAGCCAAAATTCAATTTTCATCATGTAAACCGATCGAGTCTCTCAGAAAACTTTGACTAAACCACTCAATTCATGTGGATTAGTTTTGCGAACTTTTTGTAGCATCAAAGTGTCAGTTGTGAACTGTCAATAGAGAGTGCAGAAAGCTCTCAGATTTCATCAAAAAGATCCTAGATTTGTTTTTCCTGAAGATTAACAAAAGTCTTTCGGATTTGGAACGACATGACACAATTTTCATTTTTGGTATAAGAAAACAGAATAAGCACACTTTTGCATCTTCTCAAGACCTGTGTTTTAAAGCACATCTGCATTTTTTGACGTCTTAGAGTAAAGGTTACGCCATTGGAAACGCCCCTGAGCTGGCGAAAGCCCACAACAGCCATGCCAGGTAGGTTTAGCTTTAATATTACTCTAGAAACTCTTTCCCGCTAACATCGAATAAGTAGATTTTACGCAATCAATCTTAGTTGTTGTCGCGATCTGTTGTTTTGTAGTTATTGTTTTTGTCTTGTTTCCATGGAGACCGGAGCCGCGGCACCTGCCGGAGAAGCAGAACGGCATCAGTGCGGTGCGGACGATGGAAGCGTTTCACTTCGTCAGTTACGTGCCTATCAAAGACCGGCTGTTTGAACTGGACGGGCTGAAGGCGTATCCCATCGACCACGGTGAGAACTTAACTCACTAAAGATAATTGTACTGACAGTCCGATGAAGGACAAGGTTATAATAATCTGTCTGTCTCTCTCAGGGCCATGGGGTGAAGAGGAAGAGTGGACTGATAAAGCCAGACGGGTCATAATGGAGCGAATAGGACTGGCCACTGCAGGGTAAAAAGCCAGACTGGTCAATATTCACATCTCTAGCCAACGGGATGAGGAAATTATATATAGAACATCAAGAATATTGCAATACATCAGATCTTCTGTACAGGGTTTTTTTCTTTTTTAAGCATGTCATTTTTACACTTTAGTTTAGGGTCCAATTCTCACTATTAACTTGTTGCTTATCAGCATTGGCCGATTGATAGTACTTACGAATAACATATTAATGTCTTATTCTGCATAATCAAATTCTAAATCCCTTGATTCTACCCAATACCTAAATTTAACAACTACCTTACTAACTATTAATAAGCCTTAACTAGGAGTAGCTAAATTCAACATTTTGAATCTACATTACTGTACAACAATTGGTTTCTCTGATAAAAAAGTAATACCCTTTAAGTCACTATATATATATATATATATATATGAAGAGTTCAGATGCAAAAGCCTCTAAATGCCATTTGAAATTTTCTTCTTTAATAAAGATTTTTATCAAACTTGTATATTTAAGTTCAGTGATTATATTTAAATGGCAATGATAATTACCTATTAATTGTTATTTAAGTGAAATTACTGAACTTAAATATACAAGTTTGATAAAAATCATCATTAAAGAAGAAAATTTCAAATGGCATTTAGAGGCTTTTGCATCTGAACTCTTCATATATATATATATATATATATATATATATATAAATTTTAAAGGTGAAAAAATATTAATATATTATAAAAAAGCTATTTTTTAAATATATTCACATATTCATTATATATATATATATAAATTTTAAAGGTGAAAAAAATATTAATATATTATAAAAAAAGCTATTTTTAAAAATATTCACATATTCATTATATTAAAATATATAAAAATAAATGTATCATTTTTATTATTATTATTTAAGTTTAGCTTATTTAAGCTTTATTATTATTATTAAATTTATTATTTTCTTTCTAGCATCTGATTTGTCTTCTCTCCCCTCAGAGAGCCCTACCATGACATCCGCTTCAATCTCATGGCGGTGGTTACAGATCGCAGAATAAAATACGAGTCCAGGCTGGACATCCTGAAACGGAACAGGCAGATTATTCTAGAAGGGCTCCAGCAGGTTAGGGAGAAAAAAGTGAGTATAAATTCTTTGTTTGAATAAAATCCTGATAATCAAGCTTTCTGTGAATGATTTCTCTGTGTACGGTACAGTCGGTCTCATTTGTAAATGCCTATGTGCACCACTGTACGTGCTACAGGTCATTCGGGTGACCCCACAAGATTCAGGCCAAGATCGTAAGCAACAAGACTCCTCCTCTTCAGAAGACAATTCAGCTGTTAAAAAGGAGGAAGGGCAAGACACACCAGAGAAGACCACACCAACAGGTACCACACACAATTTTTGCCTCAAAAAAACTATGTGACTAAGAACCTAAAACATGTCCCATGATATTTCAGAAACTCTAGAAGGTGCTGCGGCTCTACCAAGTCCCACTGGAAAAATCAGACCCATGGCTAAACCCGCCTCTTTACCAACAGTGGGCGCTCCGCCACCAGGCCCTCTACCTGTTCCCAGTCCCAACCCCATCGTCCAGCGTCTGCCGGCCTTCCTGGATAACCACAACTATGCCAAGTCCCCCATGCAGGTAAGATCAGGTTAAGTTTCAGGATATCTGGACTCGTTAACATATGTGTTTTCACTCGGTGTTTTGATTGATTGACAGGAAGAGGAGGATCTCGCTGCGGGTGTGGGACGCTCTCAATTACCTGGCCCCCCTCAACCCCCTTATTCTGACGACGAGGAAGACTATGATGATGAAGAAGAGGAGTGCAGCACTACAGGTGCCACAAGCAGGTATAAGATGTTTGAGAAAGTGTTACATTTCTAAACTTAATTTCAAATATGTTATTGTAGCGGTAACAAACCTCCAGAACTCAAGAGGGCGATAGTCCCTTTAAATGTCTGTACCATTAAACTGCAGGTGTTATTATTTAGCTAACTTTAAACATAGCGACATGCTTAAAAACCGCTAGCTAACATGCTTAGCAACATTGATGTTAGTAAGTAGTTGAAAACTTACCAAAGAAGAACAATTATGCAAACACTTTGCGGCAACGCTGTGGCGTATTTGAATACTTTTGAAGACGAGAATACTTTTTGTGCGCAAACACCTCCCAAATAACGACTTTATTCAGCAATCTCCTCTCATGAAAACGCTTTTACGCGTCGGTGTGCACACTCACATAGCCGCCCTTTTTTAGTCACGAGGCATTAAACGTTTGCGAATATCGTGAGCGAAATTAGTCCCAGTGTGAACAGGCCTTTAGATTTAATCAAAAATATCTTAATTTGTGTTCGGAAGATGAACGAATGTCTTGGAACGGGTTTGGAACGACATGAGGGTGAGGAGTTATTGACAGAATTTAAATTTTTGGGCGAACAAACGCAATTTTATGTTTCGTTTCTCCACCTGCTGTACCAAAAACATACCAAACCCTTACTTTAAAATCAAAAGTACATGCCAAACCACCATTTTTGTGTAGTTGCACCACTATGACCTCTATTGTTTGTGTGTTTGATTGGCAGGGTCCGAAGAAAGGTGGGTCTACGCACACGTACCATGAGCCGCACTGGAGTGAGCGGGGTTGCGGCAATGGAGGGTCAGATAGCACTTAGCGTTTTAGCTGAGAAACTCAAGAAGGAGGTCCAGAGGAAGGACGCAACCGGATCCACACCTTTGAACGTTCGTACCGAGGGTCGCACGGGTGGGATCAGCATCACTTCGGCCTGCCAACCTTCACCCACACCCAGTAACGAAAGCACTGACACGGCCTCTGAGATCGGCAGTGCGTTCAACTCACCGCTGCGCTCACCCGCGCGATCGCAAGCGGCAACGCGTCCCTCCAGCCCCGTGGCGGCCCACTTGAGTCGCGTGCTGTTCGGAGAAGAGGAGGGGCTGCTCCGGTTAGATGCCCGACACAATCGAGCCGTCCGAGACTTGGGGGCGCTAGTGAGCTCCACGCTGCTGCGACTGCAAGAGGATGGCATCATGTTTGCCCTGCCACCTACAGGTAACAATGAGATTTTGAAATCCAATTGGATCCTATTTTTATTCGTAAAAGATTTTTTCGATCCTATTGCGAAGGATTCATCAATTGTTCCCGTATTGGTTTGGATAACTTTGATCTCGTATGACAGAAACGTTGGAGGGGTTGAAGAAATCAGGTAGTGTGGAGAAGAAAGAGAAAGAAGAGGCGACCTGTCCGGGAGGAGAGGAGGAAGCTAAGGAGGGACCTTCGGTCGAGATGAAACAGGAGGACGTCAAAGAGTCAGTGGACGTCAAATCAGACCAGGAGAACCTGTCGTCCACCGCTGAGACCAGCAGCAAACCTTCTGGAGAAAAATACACTCCTAAAGTGAGACAGCAACCATTTTGTTTCTCATTAGTTAATTGGTACAGGTTTGTTATGCTAAGTTACATGAACTTGAGGGTTTCTGTCTAACAGGAGTTGCTAGCCTTGTTGAAGTACGTGGAAGCAGACATCACAAACTACGAAGTGTGTCTGAAAGAAGAAGTGGAGAAAAGGAAAAAGTATAAGGCAAGTGTTTGACTTAATCTTCGACGTTCCGGTGATCAGCGTTAACAGTGAACTTACAGTTTGTGTAGCGTTGCGATTTAGCGCTTAAAAAACATTTGCCGATACCTTCGAAACCGCTAGTCCGATCAAGACGAAACCACCGTCAGAAGTTTGGAAACATAGGTCGCTGGCTACACGCTAATGCCCAAATGCAAAAATATTGATAGTAAGGGGGTAGTAAAACTCAATCAAAGTCACGTGTCAGTCATTTTATACGTGTTTTTCTTTTTATAAATGTGTATAACTCTGAAGCGAATTGAGATATTTTCACCAAATTTGGCACACACATGTATGAGCTCACTCCGAGGCCACATGGAAAAAATGGTGGGACTGAGCCTCTTGGTGGCGCTATAATAGAAAAAAACCGTGTAATTCCCATTGACTTCAATACAGTTTTTTGATGTAAAATGCTATACTTAACAAATGCTTTGCTGTAACATTATAAAACTCAGAATTTCAGTGAACCGTGAGCTTTTTGTCCTTTCTCAGATCGATGACCAGAGGAGGACTCACAACTACGACGAGTTCATCTGCACCTTCATATCAATGCTGGCACAAGAAGGTAAAAAACAACCAAACATTTTTGGTTGAGAATCTTCATATGTTATATGTTCAACGAAATAGCAGCGTGAATGTTCTGCTAATCGTCGTCTTTTGGATTCCATGATAGAACGAAAGTTATATGGGTTGTAACAACTTGAAAGTAAATTGCCTTTTAATCAAATGTCCCTTTGGTGGTTTGTAGGTATGTTGGCGAGTCTGGTGGAGCAGAACATCTCAGTGCGTCGCCGACAGGGCGTAAGCATCGGCCGGCTCCACAAACAACGCAAACCCGACCGGCGGAAACGCTCACGGCCGTACAAAGCCAAGCGCCAATAAACGCTAAAAAGAAGCGAATGGCGGCAACTTCATGACTCAATCTTTCTGAGACATTGTCCTGACACATTTCTGAAGACAAGCAACAAAAACAAACACAGTGTTGGTGGTGATGTTGATTCAAATACTTTTTTTTAACCTTCACATTGTAAACTGCCCACATTCATAGTACACCACTTCCAACGCAAATTGGTGATGTTCAAAAGATGTTTAGAGATACTGAATCATTTGTCATGCTGCCATATGAAATCCTTACTTTGTACTGTATCAAGCTATAATCATAAAACCAACAATCATTGTAGCACCATATTGAGAAAACAACTGTTAGTGCCATTATTAGGGTAATGTTTGAGATTGAGGATCAGGGCTGGAGTAATTCAGGCTTTAAAATCCAAAGATTTCAAGGAATCTTAATCTCCAGACATCCCAAATATCCAATTAAAGTGCTACCAAAGATAACAACGGACCAGATTGACTCAAACAGTGCTTGCCCGGAGAATGTCTATTGTGACCAAATGGACCAATCGTCAATCTGAGATACGTTCACAGCCGTTCTGGGATCAAATATTCAGTGTTCAGTCATTTTGTTTATAAGAATACTAGACTTAAAAGGATCCAAGATTGGCACTGTCACGTTTGGGATATTTTACGTTTTGTGAATTGTATTTTATTTCATTTAATAGAAACCATCACTGTAAGAGTCAAAGAAGATATGGTTTTGGTTATATATAATTGTTCTTCAAAATTTTCTTGAAGATTGTTTTTGTTGGCAATAGACCAGTGGGTTTTGTCTCATATGTTTGTTTGTACATATGTATTTGTGTTATCTATCAACTGTCAGATCTAGATATTAAAATAAGTGTTCTGAATTACACTGGTGGTCTTGGTTTTAGTTTGAGAAGGCTCTTGCATGGGAGTAACTACACTGTAAAAAAATATTGTTGGTTTAACTTAAAAAAGTAAGTAATCTGGTTGCCTTAAAATTTTAAGTTCATTGAACTGGAAAAAGTGAGTTAATACAATGAAGGAGAATGATTTAATCATCATAAACTCAAAATTATATGTTATCTGAACTAAATAAATTATTTAAGTTGATTTGACAAAAGAAAAAATGTTGTGATTACTCCACTGTAAAAAATATTGTTGGTTTAACATAAAGTAAGTAACCTGTGTTGCCTTAAAATTTTAAGTTGATTGAACTGGAAAAAGTGAGTTAATACAATGAAGGAGATTGATTTAATCATTAGAAACTCAAAATAATAAGTTATCTCAACTAAATGAATTATTATAAAGTTGATTTGACAAAAGAAAATGTTTCGAAAACAAATCTTGAAAATAGTTTTTTTACAGAGGGTCTAACGTTAGTCAGCATCAGAAAAATAAAAAAAAACCCACCCGAAACTGGTTTAAACGGGTCATTCTCATTTCTCAACACCCTCAGCAGGAAATGAAAGAGCAGCGTGGCTTCCAGCGTCCTGGTGTCTCCAGTTCTTGGCTTTATTCACAACTACACTGTAAAAAATATTTTTATGATTTGTAATCACAACATTATTTCTTTTGTCAAATCAACTTTCAAATCAATTTATGTAGTTCAGATAACATAATATTTTAAGTTTCTGATGATTAAATCAATCACCTTCATATTAACTAAATTTTTTCATTTCAATGAATTTACATTTTTAAGGCAGCAAAGTAACTTTTTTTTTAAGTTAAACCAACAATATTTTTTACAGTGTATAGTCAGGAAGTGTCAAAACGTTTTAACCAGTTTTAGTAAAATGATGTTTTGAAGTATGAATGTAAAATGTTTGATTAGAAGTATAGTATGATGCTGTGCGCACGTTTCCTCCCCCTGGATTTGAGATGGGTCTGTCTGCGGACAGAGTCAGACTCTATTGCTGGATTTCGTGTTCTGCAGTGATGACCATCTAAGTTCCCTGGTTTTTTTTTCTTTTTTGTTTTTCTTTCGCTTTCGTTTCATCACATTGCAGGAGCAGGGCAAAAGAAAAGTCGAATACACGAGGCTCAGTTCAGTGGTAATACTGAAGCTTCACCGGAACAAGAGCTATGGCCTCCACCGTCGCGGTTCTTCTGCTCCTGTCTGCGGGTTTATTCTCAGTCGGTAAGTTAGATAAATAAATAAATAAATATTTTAATAAATAAATAATTATAAATAATAATAAATAATTTACTCCGCAGTTAATCAGTTGTTTGTTAGTTGTTTGTATTTGTACTATTAAATGTGCCATATTTCCCCTGTTCTTTAAGGTTTTGGTGATGACTGTATCTCCTACACCACCAGGAATAACGTGTACATGCCATCGATAAGCTGCAGTGGGTTATTGTCGCAGCATTGCTGTGGGGACTGCGATTTAAGATTCTGCTGCTTCTTTGATTATATGAAGATATCCACGGCTGAACAACTGGCGTGCGCTTTGTAAGTTCAGTATTAATACAAAAGTCTTTTAGACCCAAAAGTCCTTTTTACACATCGCCCTGGCCTACCTAACTTATGTTTTTCAGCACCACTGGCGTACGTTTCCTTTCCTCTTAAAATTATTTTCTGCTCAAAATGCTTAACCTAACGGCAAAAAGGGCAAATTATTTACCGATATATATTTCAGTAACCGCGAGTTCTACCAATCAGAGACGTACTTTTTTGTTGTTGTTGTTGTTGTTGCAAATATCAATGCTGATTTCGTAGCTTGTGGCTTTTATTGGAGCAGAAACTTTAATTTCACAAACTCGTGGTCAATCTTGAATAGTTTAGACATTATGGCTGAAAATTAATATCCGAGGAAAATGAATGGATTTTTGTCTGTTGGGCGCACCCCGTTTCAATTGAAATGGGTGAAAACGAAAGATATCGGACAACAAAAGAAAAGCCTAATGCAGTCAATCTGCGTGAAAGGGTGAGGCTGATTCCTACAAAGGTTGGATTATTTATATGTTGAGATTAAGCTGAAAGTGCACGTAATAAAATAATATACCACAGATGCAAACCAACGGAATCCATTGCTCTGCTCTATTATGTTTATGTTTTATGTGTTTATGTTTCCGGTGTGTTTGTTGTCAAACTCAAAAATTCGTTTTTTTCAATTATTAAAAAAATAACATTATTTTATATGAAAAAGTTAATAATTGTATTTTATTAAGAAAATAGTTTGATTTGATTTGGCATTTTAAGCTGCATATGGTGATGTCATAGACATATACACTAGACCTCACCTGGGGGTTCTAAGCATGCGTCAAAACCGCCGCCATCTTGGAACAGGGGTCTTGCCATAAGAAGTAGCTAGGTAACGCTGCTATCTCTGCCTAATTCATTGATGGTGGCTTACTTTTGTGCAGCGGAAGAAGTTCACGGATGAAATCTGAACTAGGAAGAATGTTTTTTTTGAAAAAAAATTAATTTTTTTTTTCTTTTTTCTTTCTGGAATCAATGATAAATACATGTCTGACCGTTGGAACAAACCAAAAAAACAAGAAAAATCGCATTCATGATGATTTATGGTGATTTTATTTGCATTAGACCTGTGTCTACTACATTGACGCTGATGCATTAAAGTGGAGGGGCTCCCCTGTTTCAAGATGGCGGCTCTATTGACGCATTCGTTCTAATGAACTGCCGTATCCAAGGTGAGGTCTAGTGTATATGTCTATGTGGTGATGTTACAATTTGCCCCTCACATGTTACAATGTACCCCACCTATGGGGCATGTTGTCACATTTCACTTCCATTCTTTCGGGGTAAATCACGAAAAAATTATACACTGTATTAATAAAACAAAACCACAAAATTGTACTAGACATGTGGTATGCGAGATAAGACTAGAATGCTCAGTGAGATAAGACTTAAAGGAATAGTTCACTCTAAAAAAAAAATGTTGCTGATAATTTACTCACCCCCATGTCTTTCTTTCTTCAGTCGAAAAGAAATTAAGGTTTTTGATGAAAACATGGATTTTTCTCCATATAATGGACTTTACTGGGCACCAAACGGTTCAAGCTCCAAAAGACATTTCAGTGCAAACTGTTCAAAGGGTTTTAAACGATTCCAGACGATGAATAAGGGTCTTATCAAGCGAAACGATCGGTCATTTAATAAATAAATAACAAAGTTTAAGTTTAATAAGCACAAATGGTCGCCTTGCTCTGTTCCGTGATGCGCGTTCATGACTCTCCTGTTCGAACACATTCATCAAAATGAACGAATCTTTTCCCGAGTCAATTCGTTCGTTGAATGAACCAAATGACTCAGAAAAAGATTTGTTCATTTTGATAAACGAGTTTGAACAGGGGAGCTGGAGCATTACCTGCATCTCAGTTTAAACAAAGGTCAACGAAGATTAAATAAATGTTCAGTAATATCCTCCAAAGATTTCAAAATTTTGGCACATTTTTTTCTCTATAAATAGTGGTGAAATGGCAACTTGTAAATAATTTTCGTCATTCTGGCATGTGTGGAGGTATTTAAGTTACAACTAGCCCCACATTAGGTTGCGCCACACTCACCACTACACAAAACAGGAGAAATTTTGAAAGTGTTTAAAAAGAACATAATTTTCATTTTGGGGTCAGTTATTGCTTTCATTTCTCCCTCATAATCTGTAACGGTTAACTGATAAATTGGTTGAAGTCATGGAGATTTCTACTGAAATGTTAGTAGTTTTAATCTAATGGCTAATGTCAAACCTCAAACCGTATCATTAAATTTACTTTTGTATTGTTTTTGCGATTTTTGTCTCTCCACTCGTCATTTCCTACAGTGGTTGTGGTTGTTTTACTAAACTGCAGTTTGCAAGATGCATCCCCCAGATTGACATGATACATTAACACTTTGTGTAGCCTAGTGCAAGGTGGGGAAATGCTTTGCTTGATAATTAAAGAAAAAACAAAAAATAAATAGTTCACGTTTTTGGCTGTGAAAGCTGTAGTATCCACATTTATTAAGTCAAATTAATAAAAAATAAGGCAAGATCCACTTTTTTCGAGTTTTTACCACAGTAATGGAGCTACGAATGTTTTATTTCAGAAGTTGCAATCAAAATCTTGCCCTACAAGCAATTCCAAAAAGAGGAACTTTTTTGCTTCCCCAAAGAATCTTTCAGTGAGCAGTTCTTAAAAAAATCTTTAGAATCTAAAGAACCAATTGTCAAAAGAAAAGTTTCCATGAATGTAAAGGTTCTTCGTGAAACAAGAGATACCCATAAAGAATCTTCATTTTTAAGAGTGTAGAAGTGAATTCAAATGTCCAGTTTATAGGAAAATAAATAAATGACATTTAAATAAATAAAACTAAACGATGACCAAGAAATACAATTATATAAGCACGATTTTACAGATGAAATATACTAGAACAAGATAAGAATGTTTATAATGCTTGTTGCTTGATTTTTTTTTTTTCATAACAGTGTTGTAGTACTTGAGACTCAGACTCGTCTCGGACTCGGTCTCGAGACCATATTTTAATGGTCTTGGTCTTGTCATGGACTCGTGTGCATTTGGACTCGGAATTGACTCGTACTCGAACATTTTTTTTTTTTAGGACTCGGACTTATTCCGGAGTCCACTCGTGTTCAATTTTCAAAATATTTTTCAGGATTATTAATGTATGTTAATAAAATATTTCTTTAAATTGATTGACACTGTCTGCCAGTGATTGGTGATTTTCTAGTGCGCAACTGCGCATGACAAATTGTAATAAAATTGCTTTTAACACCACCTACTATGTGGCCTTTTTACCCTAAACTGATCATATTTTTTAAACTCTAAGTAAATTCAGTAAAAAAAAAAAAGAAGGATTTCTCTAAGTAAATAAAAGTAAATTAGGTAATCAACCCTCACTGGTCTCTGGTCTCGGACTCGACTCGGACTCGACTCTCTCTGGTCTCGGTCTAGACTCGGACTCGAGTGAGGTGGTCTCGACTACAACACTGTTTCATAATCTATCCAACAGCCAAAACGATGATGTCCTCATCATTGTTTTCGGAGTATTGGGGGTTGTGGTCACATGTGTTGTGTTCCTCATCTGCTGCTGCTGCCCCTGCTGCTGTATCTATAGAATGTGCAGAACACCCAGACGTAAGTGTTTTAGTGTCAATGAGAAAATTTAGGCTGCTAGTAAAATGATAAGAATGCTATATTTATTTCAGTCTTGTTTTTCTCACAGCAGTGGCAGGAGCACATGTAACCACAGTCATGAGTACACAAAGCATTCAGCAGCCGCTTGTCACGCAGCCCGCTCAATATCCAGCATACAAGCCTGAGCCGACTCATCCAGGCTACAGCGCTCAGCCTATGCAGACGGGACCATATCAAGGACAGCCATACGCACCAGGACCCCCACCCCCATACCACATGGCCGGTGAGAACACCTAGCACTAGAGCAGGAGAGAAAACACAATCCGGCTCCAACACGCATACCTGTAGTTTTCAAATAAGCCTGCTTGATCAGCTGACTCAGGTGCGTTTAATGGTAAACTGTAAAAAGCCTTCACGTACATGCAGAACTTGTGTAACTCCTCACACCCGGGTCCAACTCGGCCTCGAACCCGGGTCTCCGGCATGAGAGTCAGGCGCGCTAACAAGGAGGCTAAAGACTGCAGCCTCTAGCGTCTGTCGCTCGAGCGCCTATTGAGATCGGGGAGTGAGGTTTACTCGCACAGCAACTACTAGCTGGCCTCCGTTACACTTGCAATTACAACGCTTAACCTTGTCATTTTCTGAGAGCTACGACTTAGCCGAAGCAAGTGGCGTGCACTCAGCATACTAGAGATTTCTTTACTGGTTTGTTGGGTAGTCGAATACTTCCACCAGTAGTCGCGGCTGTCGGAAGCCATTGTATACTCGAGCGTACAATAACCATGATGATGCGCTTGTTTTTATTCACTAAAAGCAAACCAGCAAGCCATGAATGTGACCAAAGAGAGTTACTGTGTCTGAATTCCCTTACTTCCATAGTAGGGGGGAAACAGTATGTGACAAAAGAAGTATGACCGAATTCACAGTGCTTTTGAGTAGGCAAAAAGTACCCGGATGACCCGCTGAGATTCTGAAGTGTGAATACGATGGACACTTTAATATCCCATGAGGCCACAGGAGAGGATTTGTGTGTGGCAGTGAAGCGACGCAACTGACACTGGTAGATCACATGACAATGAAGTGAAAGCAGAGATGTATAGTGACGAAGTGGTGTATCTGTACTCTACTAGAGTATTGTTTTTTCTCATACTTCTACTTTTACTTCAGTAGATATTTTCGATGAATTTAATACTTTTACTTCGATACTTTTTTTAATGTTCTGCCAGTTACTCGTTACAATTATAAAAATTTTACGAATCATTCGTTGCAAGTTGGCTTTCATGCTGCCTAAATCACACGCCAGTTTTATAGGGTAATGGTATTGATTGACACACACATTGACAATTAATGCAGGGGTTGTCCTGCAATGATTTTTTGGCGGCCACCAAAGCAAATTTGTATCCCGCCAAAGCGCCTTATTTGATTGCTAGTTCAAACTTTTGACTGCTTTCTTTAATAATTACATGACACAATACTTGTACTTTTACTTTAATTAAGTGTGGTGCTTAAAGAGCACTTGAACTTCTACTCAAGTCACTTTTTTGATAGAGCACTTGTACTTTTACTCAAGTCCGGGTTTCTAGTACTTTATACGTCTCTGAGTGAAAGTCAAATGTAATGGCCAAGTATGGTTACCCATACCCATAATTTGTCATCTGCATTTTAACCCATCCAAGTTAGTACACACACACTTCAAACCAAAGGCGGCGTTAGGGTTTAGGTTCCTTGCTCAAGTGCACCTCAGTCATTTCCTGCTGGTATTGAGACTCAAACCCGCAACTTCAGGTTACATGTCTGACTCTCTAACCATTAAGCCACGACTGCATAATGACAACATGGCGAATCCATATAATGTCACAACGTGAAAGAAGTTAGTTTGAAATATTTGAATATCTATTAAAAATAAATGTACATAAGTATTCACAGCATCTATCATGACACTCAAAATTGAGCTCAAGTTCATCCTTGAGATGTTTCTACTAACTTGATTGGAGTCCACCGGTGGTAAATTGAGTTGACTGGACATGATTCAGAAATGCACACTAAGGTCCCACAGTCAACAGTGCATGTCAGAGCACAAACCAAGCCACGAAGTCCAAGGAATTGTCTGTAGACTTCCGAAATAGGATTGTATCAAGGGCGGCACAGATCTGGGGAAGGGTACAGAAACATTTCTGAAGTATTGAATGTCCCAATGAGCATGGAAGAAGTTCGGAAGCTCGGAACCACCGGGACTCTTCCTAGAGCTGGCCGTCCGGCCCAACTGAGCGATCGGGGGAGAAGGGCCTTTCTCAGGGAGGTGACCAAGAACACAATGACAGAGCTCCATCTGAGAACCATCTCTAAAGCGCTCCAGCAATCAGGCCTGTATGATCAAGTGGACAAACGGAAGCCATTCCTCAGGAAAAGGCACGTGACAGCCTGCCGGGAGTTTGCCAAAAGTCACCTGAAGGACTCTCAGACCATGAGAAATAAAGACTGAACTCTTTGACCTGAATTGAAAGGCTCATGTCTGGAGGAAACCAGGAATGCAGCGAACAGCCTGATGGAGCATGAAAGGTTCTGCAAAGAAGAATTGGAGAAACTGCCCAAACATAGGTGTCCCAAGCTTGTAGCATCATACTCAAATACCCCTTCTCCAGAGCTAGTGCTGGTTCGGAGTTGGTTCGACTGACGACCTTTCAAAGAACCGGTTTGCCTTTCCACAGGCTACAGAGCCAGATCTTACGTCACTGTATACATCTCATGTTGCCCAGCAACGCTAGCGCGGCACACACAAACACACCAGGCTTGTTTGAGATGGTTCGTCACTGTGAATCTCGAACTGCGAGAGCGATTCGAAAAAAAAAACACTAGAAAAAGATTTGATTCAAAAGCAGGAGTCGTAAACTCTCCAAAGACTCCCGCAGATCCGATCAGTCCACGCCGCTCCGATGCATCTCGAACAAGCCTTCCATCAACAATAGCGGTTGTTACGTTACTATTTATGCTCATGGCTTTGCAAACCTACATCGGTATCCAAACACTCGCCGTGACTTGCATTATTAACGGAGATTACAATCAAGCTGCTATTAGCATGTGTAACGGAGGCCAGCTAGTAGTTGCTGTGCGAGTAAACCTCACTCTCCTGATCTCAATAACTCGCTAGAGGCTGCAGTCTTTAGACTCCTTGTTAGAGCGCCTGACTCTCATGCTGGAGACTGGGGTTCGAGGCCCGCTCGGAGCGGGTCGAGTGGGACCTGGGTGTCGGGGTTAAATTGGTGCCGTGACCCGGATGAGAGTGAAGTTTAGGGGGGTGAGTGTAACGGAGGCCAGCTAGTAGTTGCTGTGCGAGTAAACCTCACTCCCCTGATCTCAATAGGCGCTCTAGCGACAGACGCTAGAGGCTGCAGTCTTTAGCCTCTTTGTTAGAGTGCCTGACTCTCGAACCCGGGTTCGAGGCCCGCTCGGAGCGGGTCGAGTGGGACCCGGGTGTAGGGGTTATACATGATTAGCTGCTATTTAAAAAATGGCGGCCACAAGTTTCTATTTGTCTTGTTGGTCACGGTAACCCTGCCCCCAGCCGCTTACGTAACCTGTTCTTACTTCTAGACCAGCAATGATTTGGTGCTACTTAAGAACCACTTTTACTGGTTCGGAGCTGGTGCTTAGGTGGTCGAAAAATACCACTAGGCTAACTGTAAAAACAAACACTTGTGGCGGTCTAGTGTTGAACACTTGTGAAGTCCACAAGGCCGTCAGTGCAAATGAGGTGTGCAATCTTTTTACAATAAAAGTAGGACATAATTGTTGGGCTGTCAATTAATAAACACTTGTTGGCACGTACTGTTATTTTTTGCCTTTTTTTAAACTGTAACATAAACCACAGGTACTTGAGTAACTATTGTTTTGACTGTGAGAAATCAGTAGTTGTGCAACCCCTACCTAGTACTAGACAGACTGATACCATGTACTGATATTTTCCTTGAAAATAATTAGTGTCTTTTTGCATTTCCAGCAAGCCCTGGATATCCCAGTGTTCAGGCTCCATATGACGGAAGTCAGGCCACATATCCCATGATACCCCCTGCCCAGCCTGGTATCGCTTATCCGCCCCCAGTGTCATTCGAACAGCCAGCCTATAACCCTGCCTACATGCAGCCACCGAAGACTGGATACTAAACCACAAGCGTCTGTCACATCAGTCACTGTAGGATTGTGGAGGTTTGATGCACTTTTTATAAGTGGATGTGTTATAGTCAGAGTTATTTCCGTTTTATTTTCAAATAGTCCTTTCATTTTAGGTTTCGCTCTGCGACACACAGTTAAAGTAAAGTTTTTAATAAAACAAAGATTATTGAAGTAAGTTTTAAAAGAAAATACCATTCGAAACTTTCTACTTTTCAAAATTTCTCAATATGACATTTCTTTGTAATTAATTGTGAAAGTTTTACTAGCGATTTATGAGTGAAAAATGTTTTTATACAATTTTGTTTTAGCTTTCAGTGTTAGTTATTCTAGGATTATATTGAACTGTATAATGTGTTGATACAATTTGATATATAAAAAAAAACTAATATCTAAAATAAAACGTGGTCATTTTTAAGTTTTAGTTTAGTTTATTCTTGCAATTTTGCTTTTACATTTTTGTTTTTATTAACAGCACAACGCTCACAGAAACATGAATGTCTAAGATTTTTACATTTAGCTGGATCTGTGATTTTATTTTTTAATAAAGTGTCAATGTTTTCCATTTTAAATTCTTTCCTATGATTCTAAAATGCAGACACATTTTAATAACATTGAGTGATGCTGAATTTACATAATTTTGTCACGAGACTTGTTTTTATAACATTAGGAAACCACATGTTTTTTTGTACTTTCGCTGTTCCTTTTTTCAGATGATATTGTTTCGTAGCCTATTATAATATAGCAGACACTGCTACTTCACTTTGAGCGAAATGAAATTAGCGGAACTAGGAAGTCTGAAGTAGTCAGGCTAATTGTTTCGGGTTGCATTGTTTTTTTTAGATGGAGCCTATATTTTACTGTTAACTGTTATAGATTTTGTAAATGTTAAACTGCTGTTTTATATTTAATTTCTATATGTGTGAGAAATTTAGAAAACTTGATTGTCTCTTTAAAAATGAGGGAATTTAAATAAAGTTTTACAGGAGAACATCAACATTGTTCAACTCAAAGGAAAAACGGACAGCAAACCTGCTGGAGAAGATTTTGGACTGTTTTTTATGCAATGTTTGGTGAAGTCACACCACTTGAACGGTTATGGGACCCCCTACTGGCGAAAAAATAAACAATCTGTAGTGCTTTTTATAATTGTTATAGAGTTTTTTTTTTTATGTATTTAAATTCTGTTTATGTACAAGTTATTACAACATCTCCACGTATGGGAAAAATATATTTGCACCCTCTTAAAAAATTATCTTACCTTACGTTTTGAACTTTAGGCCTACTCTAAATCAGACACTGGATCGACACGCTCCAAAGTATTAATTCTAATAATTTTTAGGCTAACATTTATGTTCTCAAACGTGAAAAAAAAGAAAAGAAAAAAGATTAATTTAAATTATTTGTGATTTTCAGCTTTACACGAGTTTCACAAGTTTTATCTTCTTCTTTCGCTTTCATTTCACCGTTGCGGTTGATAAAGTCAAATTTTGTCGGTTCCTTAATACGCCCACCTACTTAAATATTCACGAGGATCAGTTAGATTTGGTTATACCGCAGCTTTACCAGAAGAAGAAGAGATATGGCCTCCACCGTCGCGGTTCTTCTGCTCCTGTCTGCGGGTTTATTCTCAGTCGGTAAGTTAGACGAGACGGCCTGTCACAAACATCTTTTTGGGTGGTTTACTGACAATAAATAAACACATTCTTGTACTTCAGAATATTTCGGTTGTTTGTTTTGAATAAAATGTGTCACATTTCCCCTGTTCTTTAAGGTTTTGGTGATGACTGTATGAGCTACATCTCCAGCAGTAACGAGTATAAGCCCTTTATAAGATGCCAGATTGGGGCGTACTGCTGTGGGACCTGCAATGACAGATACTGCTGCAGCAATTCTTATAGGAAGATAACCGATCAATACGCGTGCAAAGCGTAAGACATTTTAATTCTATTCTGTCCTAATTCAAATGACTTTTAGTCCCAACAGTCCTTTTCCACAAAAGGAGAGTTTTCTTCTAGTTCTTCTGGGCCATCAATTGTTTTAATTTCTCCCTCATGATCTGTAGTTAACTGATAACTCAGTGAACTGCAAAGTCCATGTTGATTTCTTCTGAAATGTTTTGTGTGTATGAGGTTATTCTCGAACCTCTTTTTTGTAATGTTTTTTTGCGATCTATATTACTTTTGTAATCCGGTTGCCTCACCGTGCGTCACACACATCACTTCCTACAGAGGTTAAAACTGCAGTTTGCATCTGATTGACACGATACAATTTGAACAATCACTGTGTAGTCGTGTAAGTTGCGAAAATGCTTTGCTTGATATTTAAAGAACAAAGAATGAAAAGTTTTTGGCGTTATACACATTTATAAAGTCAATTTAAAGACAAATGAGGCAAGAGAGAAGGAACGTGATGCAACATGTTGAGGGGATTAACAGGGTGTCGAATACGAGAAAAGGCGGAACCAAAGAAAAACTGTTTGTTTTATAAACAAATGTTGTAGTAAAAAAAAAATAAAAAAAAAATACATATGTGTATGTGTGTGAATTTTAGTATCCAGTCTCCAAACTAACTGATAGCCTACATATGAAAATAAATAATATTTAAATAAACAAAATGATAATTAAAAATAAAATTATAAAATATAAATACGATTTTATTGGTTTATAATGCTTGTTGCTTCATATTTTGTCATAGTCAGTACAGCAGCCAAACCAATAGTGTCGCTGGCATTGTCTCAGGAATAATGTCGCTTGTGGTCATGTGTATTGTGTTCATCATCTGCTGCTGCTGCCCCTGCTGCTGTATCTATAAAATGTGCAGAACACCCACAAGTAAGTGTTTTAGTGTCAATTGAACGTTACAATATTACATTATTTAGGCGGGTAGTAAGAATTATGTATTTAATTCGGTCTTGTTTTTCCCACAGCTGTGGTCGGAGGAACACATGTAACCACAATAGTGAATACACAATGCGTTCAGCCAGCGCCGCCTGTCATGCAGCCCGCTCAGTATCCAGCATACAAGCCTGAGCCGACTCATCCAGGCTACGGCGCTCAGCCTATGCAGACGGGACCATATCAAGGACAGCCATACGCACCAGGACCCCCACCCCCATACCACATGGCCGGTGAGAACACCTAGAAAAAATTATTTTGTTTCAGCTTAGTTCCAACCCTGCTCCAAAACACACATACGTGTAGTTTTCAAAATAAGCCTGAAGGGTTGAAGCTTAATGGTCGTAATCACCATTATGATTCTGAACTGTAAAAAGCCTTCATGAACATGTAGAACTGGTCATTTTCTCAGAGCTACGACTTGTAGCATGTGGCCGCTGACCACTGCAGATTTAAGGTGTGTTCGACTTGAAGTGGCGCTGTGCAGGCCGATCAGTGAATGACGTCATAATACAGCGAGATTCAAAAGCATACAGATCTTTCTTTAAATCTTTTTTTTTTTTCACTACTACAGTGAGTTTTTTTTACATTCATACTACACATATTCAAACTATAGAGAACATACTTTTAGGTACTCAAAATAAATGCGATTTCAGACGCAGACAGTTTGTAGCAGGAGGACGATGACAGCAAATAGACTACATGAATTGTCATATTCTATTATAAACTAAAAAGACAAATGCATTATGCACATGTCAACAAATGGATTGCACTTTTGTATACTTTTTACGGCACTTATACTGCAGGACTCTTTGATGTTATTTCGTTGTTATTTATAACAATGACAATAAAGAAACGAAACGAACCGAAACTATATTGAACCATTTGAGTAAATCTAAATGACATGAGTAGTTATTGTTTTGACCTGTTAAATGTTATATGAGGATGTAAATGTTGTATAATACCCCTAGGCTAACTGTAAAAATTAATGTTGTTAATATACATATTAAATATGTATGCACATATTATTTAGCATCGAAGTTTATAATGGCCCTGTCCCAGATGGCACCCTTAAAGCAACACTAAGTTTTGCTATTTTTTTTCCCTTAAATTAATGTTTTCAAAATCATTTCAGTGGTTCATCAAGTCGTGATGTGGTGAAATGCACTTACAACTCTTACGTTTTGCGGTCCTTTATTTGATATATCCACGCTATGTAAGATTGCCAGATCGGGTCGCGTTTCTGTAGTCCAAATGAGACATAAGAAAACTACAAATTTGACTTGCTTTACGGCACGCGTTACAATTGCCGATAGGTGGAGCGTACTCGACAGTGGACTACAACTACATGTACGACACCCAGCAGCCGGGTAGCTTTTGAATTGTCATCATGATTCCAAAGCCGGTGTTGGATAAACAGAAAGCCTGTGCGTGCGACAGTAGGATGCGGTAGGCTAAATTATTTACGACAGCAGTTACGTGCAATTCCGCTTTCCACCTGTAGGGTGACCGAGGAAGTTACTTGGTGTTGCTGTAACACTCACAGTCTTGGCACTTGGCAAAATTGTGCATCAAATGCGCATATCGGCAGCAAAGGGGGTGTTTGCAAGCACCCAACTGAAACCTAAAATCACAAATGGGACATCCTACGGTCTTCTGGACTGAACACTTGTGGCGGCCATTGTAAGTCCACAAGACAACAATGCAATTGAGGTCGTGCCATGTTTTTACAATACAAGACAGACATAATTGTTGGGCTGTTAGTTAATAAACACTTGCTGGCACTTATTTTTTTGTCTTTTTTTACCTCAGGTACTCGAGTAACTATTGTTTTGACTGTGAGAAATCAGTAGTTGTGCAACCCCTACCTAGTACTAGACAGACTGATACCATGTACTGATATTTTCCTTGAAAATAATTAGTGTCTTTTTGCATTTCCAGCAAGCCCTGGATATCCCAGTGTTCAGGCTCCATATGACGGAAGTCAGGCCACGTATCCCATGATGCCCCCTGCCCAGCCCGGTAGTGCTTATCCGCCCCCAGTGTCATTCGAACAGCCGGCCTATAACCCCGCCTACATGCAGCCACCGAAGACTGGATACTAAACCACAAGCGTCTGTCACATCAGTCACTGTAGGATTGTGGAGGTTTGACACACTTTGTATAAGTGGATGTGTTATAGTCAAGAGTTATTTCTGTTTTCTTTTTTTTTTTTTTCTTTTTTATATCAGTCCTTTCATTTTAGGTTTTGCTCTACGACACACTGTAAAAGTAAAGATTTTTTATTAAGTTTGTAAATTAAACAAAGATTATTGGAGTAAGTTTTTTAAGAAAATACCATTTCGGTCTTTCAAATTTTCTAAATTTCCAGTTGAACTCAATTTGACATTTCTTTGTAATTAATTGTAAAAGTTTTACTAGCGATTTACTTGTTAAAAAATATTTCTACACTAGTTTTAGCTTCTACATGAGTTTAGCTATTCTTGTATTATATTGAACTTTATAATATCTTGCATATATTTTGATATAATTTGATACACTAGAAAAACTAAAATCTAAAATAAAACATGGTCAAGTTGTATTTTAGTCAAATCTTTGCAATTTTGCTGTTGCACAACGCTCACAGAAACATAAATGTCTTCAATTTTACATTTATTCTAGCAGGATCTGTGATTTTATTTTTTAATAATTTAAATTCTTTCCTTTGAGGGTCTAAAATGCAGTCGCATTTGAATAACAATGAGTGATGCTGAATTTACATAATTTTGTCCGTTGAAAAGTTGAAAATGTATTTTATTAAATGAACCTTTGTTGAAGCATTAGGAAACCACATGTTACAGTTCCCTTTTTTAGATTTCTGTTTCGGGTTACATTGTTTTTTTTAAATGAAGCATGTATTTAAACTGCATATATCATAAACTGTTACAGATTTTGCAAATGTTTAACTGCTGTTTTATATTTATATATTTCTATGTGTGTGAGAAATGTTACAAGTTTGATTGTTAAAATAACTATCTTACTGTCTCTTTTTTAAAAAGCGAATTTAAAGAAAGGTCTACAGGAGAACATAAAAAATGTAAAACTCGACAAAGTCAACAACAAGACAGCAAACCTTCTCGAGAAAAATATGCCTAAATATTTTGGATTTTTTTGCAATGGTTTTTGCAAATATTTTGGACTTTTATGCAATGTTTGGTAAAGTTACACCACTTGAATGTGTATGGGACCCCATAAACATTCAACATTCGCCTACTGGTGAAATAAAAAAAGGAATGTATTTAAATATTTCTAAATTCTGTGTATATACTTTTTAACATTATTTTTACAGATTAGTAGCAAGATTTTTTTTTTACTGTTTTGAATATGATGCTGAATATATTTCAAATATGTGTTTCTGTTTTTGAATGCCTTTTGATATTCAATAAATTAGTTATTCCTGCAACTGATTCCTCCTCTTTTCCCACCCTGACAAAGAGTGGTTGTGCGACTGCAGTGATGTAGCACTGAGCAATTGAAATGTAATTTTATTTTTCCTGTTTATTTTGAGAAATAATTTTTTTTAAAGAAACGCTGGCTATTGAAACTTGTATATATTTGACTGGTTTGACCTTTAAACATGTTCATTTGTAAGAGAAACAGTTGACAAAGTAATTTATATGTTTAGTAGCTTACAGACTTGAAAAAGTATGATTTATAATATTTCAACAACATTCAACAAACATTTTCATGTTGAAATGCTTCCTACTTTAAATAGATACAACTTAAATCAAAGCAAAAACATAACTCAAAAATTTAAGTTGAGTGAATATTTCTTTTTAGTGGGTTTCACATTAGTGTGTTTATTAAAAATTGAATGTATTATTATTAGCAATTGTGACTGGTGCAATTGCCAGCTTTGGTGTTGTAGGTGGCTGATTCACTACAAGAAGTGAGAAAGTCCGTCTTGACTGTACTTTCACTGACTGCAGTCGCCTACTCTTGTCTGCTTTCACTGAGGCTTTTGGCATTTCAAACAAGCCTGATCATTGCTATTTTTGAATAGGTGAACTGAAAAAAAAAGAAAAGAAATTAGAGCGAAAGAATGATTCATTCACGAACCTGTCCCTGTGCACATCTTTACGAACTGCGATTAACACAAAAAAGTGTGTTTACTATAGACTATCTAAATATTAACTACTAAAATGTAGCCTATAGACCATTTTGCAAGATGTAAACAACACTGGTCCAGAAGCACTTCCTGTTTCAGTTTTTTAACACTACATAAAAGCTGGGATAAAATACAACCAACAGAACTTATAAAACTGAATCAAAAAGTTAAACAAACATCTTTAAGATGTTTTCTTTACATGTCAAATAAAGAAAACAGTTACAAACTGAAACAGGGAGTGCTACTGGACCAGTGTTGTTTACATAGGCAGTTTATTCTACATGTAAAATGCTGGGCCAAAAAAAGAGATTTAATTGACCCTGAAAAGTCCAAAATTATGAAATGCCCATAAGGATAAAACACTATGGAAATTTCACAATGAAGGCATGGTCACTCAGCAGATTTAGCAGGCTTGAGAAGAAAATATGCATATTAACCTGGAGTTCTTTAAGAATTAAGCTAACAAATTAAAGCTGTGATGTAAGAGAAGTAGTAGAAGTATCTTTTCTTCTGTAACTTAAGTTTTAAAGTTTGGCATCAGTGTTGGGTAGTAACTGATAATGTAATCAGATTCCAATAAATAAATAAATAAAATAAGTCGGCCTATTTGTAGATTATATTATGTTATAAATAAGCTATGGTACAAGATTATCTTATTCAATTTTAATGTGATAAATGAGGTAAATATGTCACCTAAAATGTGTATTGTAGCTAATGGATTAGGCTACTTTAGCCTACTAACTACATTTTTTGTCATGTAATTTGGAATCTGTAATGAACTACAATTTGTGAGCAATCGCACTGTTTGGAAGGACTATATTCATCAATATTATTGATCTGTCTATGACGCTGCTTTATGAGACCCGAACTGAACTGGACAATGACATCATTTTATTGCAGAGCTGCTTTACAGATCAAATTAATTTACTAATTCAATAACTGATGATCTTTAGAGCGGATCTGAATCAACTGAACTCACTTCAGCTGAACAACAAGCAGACGAAATGCATCATTTAGGGATATTTACAATATTTAACACTGCTTTGAAAGAACCTGTATTGTATAAAGCGCCATAGGCTAAATAAAAGTGACTTGACAATAATAGTCCTGAAATATCCAATAAAGACAATAAGCATAGTGGGGTAAAATATATTAGAGATTTAGGCTGTTCCCAAAACAAGCATAACAGATCTTCACTTAGTTTCGTTTCCTACAAAAAGGATTCCGTTTGGGAGGGGCATTTTATGGATTATGAGACCCACGTTGTGTGGTGACGGAATTCGGCCATTGGTACCCATTGTTTAACGTTAGGTCCAGCATCGTCTATGTGAGTTGTGTTGTGTAGGCTATGTTTTACAGGAAAACGTTAATCGTTAACCCCGTGTTTATGGTCTAGACAGCATCAGTCTCCTGGTTTAGAGTTAAACCTGAAAGTTTAGCTGAACCAGGCTTTTATTTCTTCCTTTACACAAGGCAGGGTCGCTGTAGGCGACAGCCTCTTCTCAAATTACAACATCCGTAACTTACTAAACACGCTATTGAAGGGGAATGGCGTCCACCGTCTCGGTTCTCCTGCTCCTGTTTGCGGGAATATTCACGGCGACAGTCGGTGAGTGTATTAAATACCTAACGAAAAGGCCTTTTAACCTGTAATCTTTGTTCTTGTCGACGGTTTGTCCGGGAAAAACGATGTCTATCAAGTTACAGCTGGATAAACCCTGGCAGACAAACAAACGACACAACTTTAATTTTATGAATTATAGAGATGTATCTGGAAAATGAATCATGTATATTTTTTATTCGTCACGTCACGTGTGATTTTCCCCTTAATTTTTATAGTGTGAGCTAGCTACTTGTGGTTGTTGTTTTCCTTTTTTGTCTTCGCAAATATTGTCTATATAGAATAGGGTGACCATATTTTGATTCCCTAAACACAGGACACTCGGCCCAGCAAACAGATAACGTTACTCAAATGAAACTCGAAGTTTACTAAACAAATGCCTTATTAATGTCAATACATTTAAAGTAAGGCTAAGTATACCGCCTCTGTTTGGATAGAAATTGGTTATATTACAAGACACAAATTCAGGTAGGCTTCTCAGAGGTTATACTCAACATGTTTAATTATGACCGGTTTCAAAAATAATGAATGAAATAATGATAGGAATAATGTCTCTTCTGTATTATAAAAATAATAAATAACACCTCCAAATCGAACAAAAATAGCTCTCACAAACTTACAAAAACCAACTAACAAAATATAGCTTATTTATATCTTCAGTATTCTTCCTCTTTATCCTGTTTTTCTTCCTCATCCTCCTTGTTTGCCCGTCTATATTTTGCTGTAAAACTGATCTTTCCCAGCAGTCGAATACCAGGACATTTATCACTTTAAAGAAACAGCCAGGACAGGACGTGAAAACAGGACATGTCCTGGGAAAAACAGGAGTGTTGGTCACCCTACTAGTAAATAAAGATGTTCCTTTTAACATAGCCAAATGATCTATTATATTTTGTGTGTTGAATGTTTGATCAACATACAGAGATTTTAAAACACCTAAACAGTGACGTATTTCCCCATACGGTCTAAACTCTGCTCACAACAAATCATGCAGCGTAGCTTAGAGGAAGTGCATTAATTACGTAAAAAAATAATTTACCGACTCCCATGTTATTTTGATGCATATTTTTTTCTGCCATGTAACACTTGAGGAGACTTAAGGCAGAAAGTCTGTTTTGCTTTTTTACATACGAGAAAAATGGATAGTTATTATATATACGTTGTCTATGGTCCCAACCTGATACTTCTTTTCCCAGTGCTTGTTCAAGTTATTGAAATTGATCAATCCAATGTGTACAGAGGGTTTGTGTGTGGATATTAACTATGACCAATATACACACACAAACTCCCTGCACACATTGGATTGATTTCAATAACTTGAACAAGCACTGGGAAAAGAAGTCATTATTGACTAATGAGACTCAACAACTTGATCAGGACATCCCTAAATAACCATCCATTTTTCTTGTATGTAAACAAGCCATTGGTAGATGTAAACCTCTGTTACAATGATAGTGGTCACGTGTGAAAATGGGACTACTGGTATGTAGTTATATTTTATCTGTGCATTAATCCGAATAATTGCAACAAAACAAAGGATTAGTGCAAAGGTTAGAAAGCATGAAGTTTGCAGTGTCAGAATGCCAACCTGTCAGTGAAGCGGGAAGCAAGACGCAACTCGGATGGGTTATGGCAATGACATCTCAAGCAGAATTAAAAAAAAAAATATCGACCGGTTATATAACCAATATCAATATCGATCAGTTAAAAAAAGAAAGAAGCTTAATCGGCCCTGATACCGATTCTAGAGATCGGTTCGAAACATCCCTATTATTCGAACTAAGAAAAAAGACATAAAATGGACATTATATTCAAAGTCTTCTGAAGGCATACGATAGCTTCAGTTGCTTTTGCCGTAGCGCTCAAATCCCCGCAGAATTACTTGGTTTTGGGTGACCTGAGGTTGAGTAAAAGATAGCAAGGTTTTCTTTAGTGTGTTTCAACTATTCCTTAAGATACTTTTGCTCAATATGTCTAATTTCTCATCTTTTTTTTTGCTTTGTTTAGCCGATGACGACTGCCAGAGCTACTTTAGCAGCAGTGGTACGTGGAAGCCGCCCATTGATTGCGGGTTTCTCAGTTTCTGCTGTGGGACGTGTAACGACAGATACTGCTGCTCCAATCCACTCATGATGTTATCCGAGGATAAACAAGAGGACTGCATTTTGTGAGCAGTTTTATTTGTCTCATGAAAAATAATGGCTTTCATAGATTTACCTGATATCAGCACACTAGCTTCACAACTCTTTTTGTCCCATTAGCATCCCTGAACAAGGCTTTGAAAATGACTTCCCAGACACAATCCCCATTTTGCATTTTTCAGGGAATCTAACTGAAACCAGTCATATTTCATACTATAAAGTGTGTTTCTAATGTGATTTATTTTTTCATAATCTCTCCTAAAGCCAGGATAGTACGTACATCGCTGTCGGCGTGACCGTAGCGGGGCTTGTGATCCTCATCGTTATGTTCATCGTCTGCTGCGTCTGTCCTTGCTGCTGCATCTACAAAATGTGCAGAAAACCCAGACGTAAGTGTCTACATATGCATATTTTTTAATAATTGTATCCATTCTTGTTTGTGTTCCCAATTTGAGAGATCTTTCTTGCCAACTATTTTGATGGGCATCATATCCCACATTCAAATGTGAAGCCAGTAAAAATGAATTGTGCAATTTCCTCAAATTGAAACTCGTGAAACTCAAGACAGACATATTCATTGTGACATGATGTCCATGAAAGTTTATACATCATGGTAGTTGTTGTTGAATTGCCTTTTTATGCTGATTTAAATTAATGTATAGTATTTTTCATTTGATTTTTTTTTTTTAGTATGAAAAAATCACTATCATAATATAGTCTGTTGAATTAGGTACTAGTTGGACTATAATAATGTAGTCTCTAAAATATTGTTTTCATTAAATAATGTTATATTAATATAGAAAAAACAAAAGTCAAAGTCTAGATGTATTAAGTTATTATAGGTTTTTATGCAAAATATATTCATTTAATTCAACGTTTTTTATTTAGTTCTGGACGTGTTTTCATGAGACTGACCCGTGTGTAAAAATGGCAGAATTTTTTTTGAAACTGTTCTCCACGAGTTTAGACTTTCTCTGACCTTGTAGCCTGTGTTACAAATGCTGGAATGTGTGTTTCGAGAGTGGAAAAACTGAATACTGGATCACTTTGGGATTCCCCACCCAGTCTGACTCACTGTGCCTACAGCAACCACAAACAGGAAGAGTGAGGCCCGTGTGCTGCAGAAACAGATGAACGATAGTCACAAGACGCTCCTAGACGAGCTGCAGTGTCATCTTCATAACATTTGTTTCAAAAGTATAGATTTTGCTTCCCACTCTGGGAACAGAATGAATGGAGTACCCTTCTTAAAGCGACAGTACACCTAAAAACCATAGCTCTCCCCAATTTAAAGGGATAGTTCACAATTAACTTTTGGTTTAGCTAACCTCAAGGGCATCCAAGGCGTAGGTGTTTTTGTTTCTGCAGTGGTTTCAATTTTGATATTTTTTAGGCCAAACCGCTATGGTCAACACCTCAAAGAGCATGCACAGAGAAGTCCAAATTAAACATGATTTAATAACTCGTAAATGTTAGTATACATTGATGGCCTAAGACACGTTTGTTTGAGAACGCACAGTATTTAAATTTGTTTTTACTTTATGTAACCAAGAGATCTGAGGGTGCGGGCGCTTCGGTCTGCGCAAGCGCTGGAAAGCGCCGGAAGTGATCTCTCGCACGCTTGCGAAAAAAAAAATCAACGTTGTCTGTTGATATAAACGAAATCGTCTTCTATTGTGATTTCCTGTGTATCTAAATATGTTTAGATCTTCACAGTGAAAGGTAACACTTCTGAAATCTCAATGAGTGACGTACACTTGCGCGGACCGAAGCACCCGCGCGCTCAGATCACTTGGACGTGGAAATACTAAAAATATCAAAATTGAAACTATTGCGGAAACAGACACCTACATTTTGGATGCCCTTGAGGTTAGCTAAAACATACCAAAAATTAATTTCAAAGTGAACTATCCCTTTAACTTTTTGAGTGCACCTGGAGACTGATACGTGTGGCTTTATTATATGCTGCTGTCAGATGTCACACACTAAAATAGCACACCTCACTACAGACGAAAAGCAACGGTATTTATATAAAATAGATACTTTAGGTATAGATCTGTATTAACTGCTGAGTCTAGTAAAAACTTGCCAAAATTGACGTTTGCTGACCTTTACATCTACCTCGTCCACAATCCCTCTCCATTCACCGGTCGAAGCTCTTAAGGCATTTAAAAGCACTTAAGCTCACCGTTACTTCACCTCATGATGGGTCAATGATCCCTAAATCTATCATCTGGAAATGAAGAAAATGTTCTAGATAACAGGAAGGGTAGTGGCATAGATAGCTGTCTAGCTCACAGCCATAGGTGTAATTTGTGGGTGGGACATGTCCTCGCCACTTTTTGCCAGGGTTGAAACAGATTTGAAAAATTCACATTTCATTCGATTTTTTTTAGGACGTTCACACTTGCTAAATCTGATCGGATTTCAATCTGATATGCCCAACAATGAGATTTAGTAGTCAACAGAACTGAGAACAGGTTTGAAACTCGTGAGTAACCATGGAAACAAACTTTTTATATAAGTTTATTTTTTATACATTTTTTAGTTATTTTAGTACAACTAGCTGGAAAAAAAAGTGTTATGAAAGTGTATTTTATTTCAGTTAATGTTTAACTGTTATGGTTTTAGTTAACTGGCTTGAAGTTTGTTGTCGGGAGTATGTGAGGTTGTGGAACAGCATTTCTTCATGGGTTGGATTGGTTTTATTTTGTCAGAATATTATTCAGGGTTGTTGTAAAGTTATTTGTTCATAATTTAGATATAATTGTGGCAGGTTTGCCAATATAATTATGATATTTAGGTAATGCAATTAAATGATATCAAATGATTTGCATGCCAAATTGTATAAACTAAAAAACAGTTTTGAAATATATTTAAAATTAAAATAAATGCTTGGTTGATTATTTGTTCAAGTCATTATATACATATTTCTGATTTTTAAAGGTTTTAAACAGCCGTCTATAGATTAATACACCAGGAAGTTGCTACCTTCTGCATCTTAAAGTTAGCCATTTAACTGCACCAGCTTTGAATTGCAGCTTTGATTGCGGTTGCAGTTGTTATCAGGCTGTCCTTATTCATTTAGTTTAAAAATATAATAGTGTTTCAAAGTTGGTTTTGAGACTCACATTTATAATAATTAGGACAGAAAGGTTCCAGAGAAGTAGTGACAGACCTATACATACACACACACATGTGTATATACTGTATATGTGTGTGTGTTTGGCGAGTCCTCCATCAACTACCTATTATTCATGTTGTTTTTCCTTTGATTTGTTCAACAGCTGTTATAGGAACAACAACAACAACTACAGTGGTCTCCACACAATACCCTCCGCAGCCTGTTGTGCAGGGAAGTCAGTACCCTCCGTACCAGCCCATAAAACCACCTCAGTTTGGGTACAGCGGGGCACCAGGACCATATCAGGGACCGCCATACGTAGCGGGACCTCCTCCCCCATATCAGGAGGCTGGTAAGATAATGAGCTTGAACAGCAAAAAGGCCAGTCAGCCTGAGTTGTAGGGCTGGGCGATGCGTATGAATATTCATGATTTTGCTGGTAAATGTCGAGAATGACGAAATTTGAATGTGCTTTTTTATGTGTGATTACAGTAGTTTTACAAAGATTCAACAGCATGCACATATAACCACCAAAAAAATCAAATAACAATGAGGTGCTCAATCACAAACATAAAAGAAAAGGAAGTAAGTGTTAATCAGTCATGTTCTCACCAGGTGAAGTTACAGCCCACTTTTCATCATGCGTAGACAGTTTTGCAATCCTCTCTTGTCTCATGACTCTGATGAGTCATGAGTACGAAAGGCAAGGCTGGTGTTTAAAAATGATTCATTACTTTTGCATCAGTTCAGAATGTTTTAGTGAATCGATTCAGAATTATTTGTTTGCTCTTTCACTCTAAAAGTGTTTTAGGGAAAATAAATTGTTGGTAATTTTCGCTATTAAAATTGGCTTTTCGTTAAAAAATTTTTTAGATGATTTTGAAAGAAGAGTATTATGCTGTAGCCTGGCTTACACCAGACCACGTATAATTGAGAAGGAAACATGGTCTGGAAACCACAAGTTAACTTTCTCGTATTTGAGGCGTGGTTTACGAATGCCCAGACCGTATAATTGGGTGCTACGAATGTCTATCAAATGCGCCTTTACTCCCTCCCCGTTCTGTGATTGGTTCCCTATTTCAGGGGAAAATTTGGTTCATGGTATCCAGACTGCTTAGCAGCGCGAATAAAATCGCGGCAGGGCAGACATATTTTGACAATTTAAATGAACTATTTTCCATTTTAATATCTTGCAAAATATAATTTATCCCTGCAATGGCAAAGCTGTTTTTTCAACAGTCTTCAGTGTCGCATGACCTTCAGAAATCATTCTAACTTGCTGATTTGATGATCAAGAAACAATTATCATCATCAATGTTGAAGACGCTGTTCATTATTTTTGTGGATTTAAGATTAGAAAGTTCAAAAGGACAGCGTTTATTTGTCACTTTTGATCAATTTAATACACGCTTGCTGAATAAAAGTAATAATTATCTTACAGACTCCAAACTTTTGAACAGTAAGTATTCACTCAGCTCTAATAAGTTAGGGTTAAATTAGCTTGCTACAATTGCATCGGAAAAAGGGCCAACAGAGTGTTGGATGGGGGTCTCAGTGACTCATAGAGGAGCTGTAATTCTGTGTGTGTGTTTGTAGGAGGCCCAGGATATCCTGCTTCCTACAGCCAGGCTGCGTATGACGGTGGACAGGCCGCCTACCCCATACAACCACCAGCTCAGCCGGGTTTCGTTCAGTTGCCTCCACTGACAAACTACAGCTCGACTCAACCAGCTTACAACCCCGCCTACGTGGAGCCACCAAAGACCGCTTACTAAACCGCAAACTGGATTGTTAATGCTTATGCAGTTCCATGACCTGGTCTCCTACAATTGTGCATTGTACAGCTACTGAGGACAGCATATTTCAATCGGGTCGGGAATAAAATGATCAGTGTTTGATTGCTTTAAGGTCTTCTTGCTTGCCGGCATTATTTTTCACTTCATTTTATATAAATCTATATATTTTATCTTCTGTGACTCCAAGCCATATTACTTTTTCACTTTGTTTGTTTGTGCAAAAGGGAATATCTTTGATTTTCATTTTGAAAGGCTGCTACACGCATTTAAGATCGTTAGATTCATTTTATTCTTGGAATTTGCACAAAATACTGACATTGTATCATTTGTTGAATTGGAATCACGGCTTATGTTCTGCTGTTAAGATGTTTTCACGATTTTTGTACCATTCAGGTTTAGGCATCTTTGAATGTTTGTAACAGCGTTCTCATGCACTCAGATCCAGAATATGCCTTATTTATGCAGCAAATTACACGTGGACACTTTAACTACTACATTACCGTGTGTTCGTAGAATTTTATGGAAGTTTGCTTGTATGTTGCAGAAATTCTGCATTCATGAAGGAGAAGTCAACACATTTGATACATTTCCCTATCCTCTTCCCTTGAGCCAAACGACTTTGCCATCAATTTAAATAATGTGAAATTCATTTTTTAAACAATAAAAGTCACTCAAGGTCAGAAAGATGGAGAAAATGCAAGATGTTGTTTGACTGGTGTGTCTAGTTATCTGGAAATTCTTGCAACAGGCTCTTCTGTGTTATGAAGTTAGCTCATTATTTGATTATCCCTCTCTATACAATCTTCCAATGATTCCTGTTGGGTGTGTCAGGTCATGTTTTTGGGCTGTTTGTTCGTGGTTTATTAACTGTATTAAGTAATTAGTGTTTTGTGTTTAAACGTTTCCATGTTTGAAACTGCAAATAAAAACAAATTGAGCTAGAGTCACTATGTTAGTGTAAAATTTTCTGCCTAGAAACATTACTCCTCTCATTTTAGTCAGATTTTCCGTTTTCTAAAACGTACACAAAGCAAGTTAAATGGTGTACAGGAAGTGAGCTCACTCATGTTGATATCAATTAAAACTACTTTCTACATTTAAACATGCTAAAAATTCACACTGAGGTGATGGGAAAGTGCATATAATATCTGGAAATACTTTGTCACATACCGTTAGCCTACGTTTTATTTTATTATGCAGGTCTCCGAATCAGCCGTGAAATATCCTCATATTTACCGTCGTCAATGGCAATGCTCATCCGAGTTAACTAACCGACGCTACTCTAGCGCGCAAGTCCGCGAACGCGCGCTCTTGTTTTGCCGCCATTTTGCTCATTACTTGTCGATAGTGTAACTTACTTATTTTTTAGTGTAACTTACTTACCTCAAATGACTTAACTGTAAAATTGTTGTGTTCGTTTTGTTGCTATCCCAATGGGCTCTATGCACGGCGGTATTTCCGGTGAAGGTGTAAGGGATGCTCGATAACTTCCGCCGATCGTAGAGTCCAATGCAATGGGCTCTATGCACGGCGTTATTTCCGGTGAAGGATTAAGGATGCTCGATAACTTCCGCCGATCGTAGAGTCCAATGCAATACCGAGAATTTATATTGAATTTTATACTCCATGGTTATACTAATGAAACGTTAGTCACAAAAACAGATAAAACAGACACCCCTCGTTGTGTTTATGCTTCTTTTTAAAATTATATTAAATAAACATAACTATATATAAAATTACATCTAAACATATGTACGTTTCGTTTCAAAGACGGGAGGACAGTAAATATTGAAGACTCTGCCATAATCCCGTTTTGTCCGGTTTTCCTCCGCTTTAATCTACACAACCGGAAATGGACGAGCATCCTTACGTCAAATGCGGAACTTATGCGTGCATATAGCCCATACCGAGAATTTATATTGAATTTTATACTCCATGGTTATACTAAAGAAACGTTAGTCACAAAAACAGATAAAACAGACACCCCTCGTTGTCCTTTTGTAAAATTATATTAAATAAACATAACTTTATTCAAAGTTACATCTAAACGTATGAAAGTTTCGTTTCAAAGACGGGAGGACAGTAAATTTTGAAGACTCTCTCTGCCATAATCCCGTTTTCCATCGCTTTAATCTCCCCAACCGGAAACTGCAGAGCATCCTTGCGTCAAATGCGGAACTTATGCGTGCATATAGCCCAGTTTTATGCGTTATAATAATGTACTACAATTTTTCTTGCCGTAAATTATTTACATATCAAGATTATTTTAAAGGGATAGTTCACCCAAAAATTGCTATTACTTACTCTCATGTTGTTCCAAACCTGTTCTTCTGTTAAACACAAAAGGTTACATTTTAAATAATGTTGGTGACAGTTGACCGACCCATTGCATATTAAAAAAATCCTACTATGGAAGTCAATAATTAAGGTTTGGAACAACTTGAGGGTAAGTAATGACAAAATATTTGGGTGAACGATCCCTTAAACTCAAATCACCGAAACTGTTTGAGTGAGTAGCCACGTAATAAGCAAGATAATGTAAGATGGTCATGAAAACAAAATAATCATAGACGTGTTTAACGGGTGTGTAATATGTAAAACAGGTTGCATAACTTCTAGTTCTGTTTTTTTCTACTCTGTTAAATATAGAACTAGCTATTAAAAAATAACTAGCCACCAAAGTCCATATTGCTGCCAGTTCATGCTGTTGTGATGTGACTAGATCCGTTTTTTCCTGTTTGTTCATGTGACGTAAGACATAAAGCCTATCCCTTGCCTCAAAGCTGATCCCCAATAAATATTATATAAAAAAAAATATCTTGACTCGTCCCTCGGTTTATAAAAACTACAATTCATAAATAATTAAAATACCTCAGTGACAGAATTAATTCTTTAATTCGGGTCATTAGTGCTCAGTCTTAAAAAGAATGACAAAATATGAGGACAAGAGACAAACAGAATGTTTCTGAGGGGACACACTGAACATTTTTCATTACAAAAAACTTGACTTAATATCAGACCATTATGACCCCGTTTCCATATCCATGTCCTCAACGTACTCCGTTTCAGATCTGCAGATCTCCTCCAGAGCCAGTTCTGGAGTGAGACAACAATATAATCCCATTTAATGCATCACAGTGGACTAATTTTAAAACAAATATCATTAAGGACAGTGAATGTTATACATCATGCTACTCAGAAGTCAGTTAGCCAATCAAAATGATGTTGGCATTAATTACTATAACTTACTGAATATAGAGATGTGAACCCACCTTCGCTCTCGGACAAATCTGGGACCATACGGAACGTGTCTCTGATGGCGGGAATGACCTGATCGTACATGTGCAGGACGTCCAGACAGTGTTCGGAAAAGGACGAGTCCTTTAACAGCAGCCAGTGTAGAAGCATCAGAGCTTCTCGCAGTACCTGTAATCCAGGACTCGTCCAGGCCCGATTCCTCAGCGTTTGACTTCCTCTGCCTTTTGTTTTCAGCCACTGCCTGTGTAAAAGCACAACGACCGTCCGCACCACCTGAAGAAAAAATAAATACAGTATGGTCAGAACCAGACCATTTTGCTCTACATTAATCAAACACTCAAGAACAATGATCATGTCCATTGGCGCTTCTGTAATCATTTTGTCAATTATATTCTTGTATAATGGTTTTGCTTCAAAAAAAAAAAAAGAAAATCAAACCTCATTAATACACTGGCAGGATGATTCACAAAAAGCTGTCCAAGTTTCCACCTTCTGTGTGAACAGTTTGGTTAAAAACCGGATGACCTGTTGACAGAGGAATCGTATTTTTTAAATCACGGTTTAATACAATGCATTTCAAAACAAAGCACTGCAAGATAAATCACCTCAAGTTCAAAACGACTCCACATATCTTCTGAGGGGGATTTCTGCGGTCTAGAGGTGACGTACTGGAATATTTTGAGGAAAGGACATGGATCTGACGGAAGACAGGGCTTGTGTTAACTCAAGCCAACAAAAATACACTTTATGAAATGCTAAAAGTCACCTACATTCATGTGAGCAGAGTTTTGTGGCCATCTCTTCATTATAGACGATAAACGACAGAAATCTCACCGACAGACGGACTATTCTGTAGGACGTCTCCAGAGTCATGCATTTGACCAACACTTGACTTGACACGACGACCTGGAGTCTACATTTGAGAAATCAGACAACAGTGTAATTGGTGAATAAAAGTAAATGAGGATGATAAGCTGTGTCATTTTACTCTCTGGTCATCTCAGAAACTTCACCAAACTGCATATTTGTTGTTTAGTCTGGATAAAGCTGAAGTGATTTTATTCTTTAAAAAAAACAAAAAAAACAACAACAAAAAAACCCTGCATGCAAACAGTTTTTTAGTCGGTAAAACTAAAGTTTTGATACGTTTTTTTAAAAACTGTTCTATGATTTCACTATGCGTGAGAGTTGGCAGTGAAATCTGTGAAATTAAATTGGCACTTCTGTGTGAAATAGACACTCAGCTCCTAGTCATGCTGCAGTAGTTTTTAAAAACAAGGCACTCCCATTGAAAACAATTGGAAAACAATGCTAGCCTTGGCGGGGGAAAAAAACGTTTGGTGGAAACACGGCCTAACAGCAAAAATGTGTTCTGTGTGAACTAGCCCTTTTTCTGTATGTCCATATTCTACATCGCTTAATCCTACACAATACCTAAACGTAAAGTCCCTGTAAAGGCAATTCTAAAAAAAAGTTCCAAACACATTATAAATGTTACATATGTATTGCTAAAACATATTACAAAGTCTGTGAACTGTGAAGTACTGAAATGTGGAGTTAGACCGTTAAACAGTTTTTCACCATTGCAATTTTACGGATTAATTGGGCGGGGCTAAAACAGGGCTCCGTGACACACTGAAACCCATGAGCTGCTGGACACCCCCCTATTTGATGACACACAGAGTCTGATCTCCCCCTCTCCACACACACTCCCCGAGCACATTCGCATTCACCGCTCAATCGTGAGTGACTGTCAGTACTATTAGTTACTACAGCTGAGCCTACAGTTTTCTAGCTAGCTATGCCTTCGACACGGACATGCATGGGCTGCTACCTGGATGCGATCATGTACAAAACAGATCGGTATCTTCATTTAAATTCCCTTAAAAACGATCACATCAAGAAGAGGTTTTTAGAGAGCTTATACTTTGATGAAGAGCCTCTGTACCTCTGTAGTGATCGTTTTACACTGGATCGTTTTATAAACTTTCCACAGAGACAACTTGGATTCACTCTAATCCGCTGTTACTGGTGAACGGGGCCGAAACGACGATCTCCCGCCTCAGTGTTCATCCTCCCGTCTCCAAAAGCTAATCAGCTAATCACCGTCGACAGCTTTCCCGTGAGTGGGCGTGGTTTCAGCGCAGCCAGCGGACACGCTCCCAGCGTTTGAGAGCAGAGAATCTGCTCATTTTTTCATGATTTCGATAGCTTATTTTATGTACTTCCCGGATTTTTTTATCATTCAAATTTGGCTGGGTGGCTAATAACACATTTTTCTGTGGTATGACAGACTCAGAACACATACTTAATTTTGACTTTACAGGGACTTTAAAGGATTAGTTAACCTTTAAAAACACTTTAGCTGATAATTTACTCACCCCCATGCCATCCAAGATGTCCATGTCTTTCTTTCTTCAGTCGAAGAAATTAAGGTTTTTGATGAAAACATTCCAGGATTTTCCTCTATATAATACACTTCAATGGGAACCAAAAGATTCAAGGTCCAAAAGACAGTTTCAGTGCAAACTGGGCTTTAAACGATTCCAGACGATGAATAAGGGTCTTATCAAGCGAAACGATCGCTCATTTAATAAATAAATAAAAAAATGTAAGTTTTATAAGCTCAAAGCTCATATGCTCGCCTTGCTCTGTTCTGTGATGAGCGTTTGTGACTCTCCTGTT